TGCTGTGCTCTGACCCCGACTGAGCCACGCTCACCCCTGGTCTGGGGCTGCGGGAAGTAGCCGCGGTCCGAACGAGGCGTCACCGTTCGGCTTGTATGTACAGTACGCTCCCTGCCTCGTACCTCGTGCCTCGGGCGTGTCGGAGTCTAGCGTGACTGTAGCCGCTCGAAGGCCACGAGAGCACAACGCCGCGCGGACGCACGCCAGAGTGCTTCTATTCCCGTATGCCTGCCTTGTTCCAGAGCTCGCCCCGGATGTACCGCTCGGTTGATGATGGCTGCCGCGGGCCTTCTCACAATCCCCCAGTCATCCATCGAAGGCACCCTGTCCGCACTCGTCGCACGCCGTGTACGGGTTGATCCTCACAGATCCCTAGCCCCGAATCACAGCCAAGTCCGCGTATCCTCTCCTCTCGGGCCTTAGCTGAGTGGTCTTACCAGGAAGCAAGCGGCCCGTCGCTGTCCGTTCTACGCAACGGGGCGCTGAGACGCTGACGGGCTCACGTCGGGGGCCTCATGTGCACCCTGTGCCGACGAGGGGCGTGTGCGAGCAAGCATGCTTTGCGATGCAATACGGACGAGGACGCTGCCTGCTTCGGCCGGCACGCTTCGATGGGCGCAATCGGCGGCGCAATAACGCTCGGCTTCTGCCAACGCTGCGTGCGAAGGAAGGAGGCAGCACCAGCCCCCTGTTCGGCGATACCCCTGACGTCGAAGCATGCCATGAAGGCGCGCGCCTGCCTGTATGAATCACCTGCCGTGGATCTGCCTGACCTTTTGTTCGAGCGGGGGTCCGCACACTCCCGCTTCATGCAAACCGTGTACGTTACGTATGTACTCGGAAAGATTCCTTCGAGCTCGCTCAGATTCCCGTCCGAGGTACGTACTACAGGTGCTGCACTGTGTTCAGAGCAAGTTGGCTCCTTTCTCCACCTACTCAGGTCGAACCATCGCAAGATGCGGCATGCGAGGCTGTCGTAGACGCTCCGCCCCTCGCGCTAGCTGTAAGTACGGGCAGCCGGTAGCTGAGCCGGCTGCTTCCCGTAGCTTTGCCGTGGATGCTCGGCCGCCCCTTTTTGAAATTCGGGGTGTTCCGTGCTCGGTGGGCCGGAAGCTTGTTCGACTCCGAACATGCCGCCCTGCGTGTCACTCACATGCCTTGCGTGGTCAAGCTTGCTTCTGTCATTATTATTGGCTCTCCATCGCCGCCCGTGACCTCGGCGACGATGCCAGCGAGCAATCAAACAAGCGCAAACGCCAGGGTCGGGACGATACCGGTAAGCTCAGCGAGACAAACAGCTGGCCTGGGCATCCGGGTACTTCTATAGCGTGTCATGAACGACGCCTGGCCAGTTGGCGCCTCGACCATTCTCGCTCGCTGCCTACTGAACGTGCGTGTGACCGATGGTCACCTCTCTGGTCGGGCACGGGGCCGGGTAAACGGGCCCTGGCGCTGAGTTCGGCTTCGACGGCTTTCCTGCCGTCGTCTTGAATGGCCGCCCGCCCGCCGGATGCCAGAGAGAGAGCACTCTCGCGTCCGCGTCCGTGAGGTGTGGGCCAAAATGGCGCACGGTGGGCTGTCCTTGCTTCATTTATGCTCGCCACGTCCCCGATGGCGTCCAAGCCGGATCGTGCACTGCTTATCGTCGAGCATCCCGGGTCGACGTCGATCCCGCCTCGTCTTTCATGGTCCCCACTGTGGACCAAGTGTCATGCGAGTGAAGAACTGTCGAAGCCGTCATCGCTGGCTGCGGCGGCGGCGGCGGGGACGGGCCGTGATCACGCCCATCTACCTGTCCATGAAACAGCAACCTTGCTCGACCCGCTGACCGACTGCGTGGCGTCGAAGCCTTGTCTCGGCACTTTGCCCGGTAACTGATTGCAGTGCAATCAGCCCCTTTAGCCGCGCCACCCATCATTTCCAGCGATGCGACGGCACGAGGGCGGCAGGTCCGCACTCCAACTTGCAGCCGTAGTTGATGATGGGGGAATGGACTGTCACGCACGCAGGCGCAAAGGCTGCTTTGGGAGCTGAGTTGAGCCTGCCGAGTTTCGCGGCCAACATACCTACTTACTGTACTGTAAAGTACTGACCAGCTGCTGCTTGCTTGGGCTCGATCTTGTAGGCTTGGATCCCAGTTTGGGGCGTGCAGTAGTCACAGAACGCTCAGAAGCGACACAGGCTAGGCCACGATCCCGTACGGCGGATCGCTCCTCTCGACTCCGCTACCGGTAGCCTCCCCGTAGGACTGGACTGCGGGCGAACACGAGGCCATGGTCGAAATTCGCCGTAGACCGAAGCATGCCCAGGCGAGGTGTCGTCGTTTGTCGCCCAGAGGCATCGCCAACGCAGTCTCCCGCCCGTGCCCGTACTGCCGGTCCATCGACGGCGCCGATGGCAGTGCAAGATTGTGCATGCCAGCGCTGACAACCGGTAGGTGGCTGCTTCCAGCCTACCTGCCTGAGAGTGTGGGTGCTACGAGGGCTGGATTGCTGCTACACAGGTAGATGAATGGGCCTACCGGCTTGCCTGCCTGCCTTCCGGGTTCGATCTCGGCGGCCGCCTTTTTCCGTTGCCAGGGCACGAGAGGCCTCGGGGCGATGCATCTGAGACACGCGAACTAGCAGCGCGCGAGGCAGACCAGCGAGCGGCCACGCAGGCAGGTAGGCTCCGGCGGGGCGCGGCTCGGCTTAAATGCGCACGCGGGCGGGCGGTACCACCGGATACGCTCCGAGCAGAAGCGGCCAACACCCGGGTTCTCGTCCAAGAGGCCGGTCCCCGCCCGATCGTCCCTTGGCGCAACAGTCGCCCTGGCCTCCTCTTCCTCTGCCGCCCGCCGCGCAGAGCCACTCGACGGCAGCCGTTGACCTGTGAAGAAGGTATTGAAGCTTCCTTCAGGTCCACGGAAAGATATGGGATGCAGCCGTAGGTCGAGGCACACACGTACTACCTGCCTTGGTCTGCCTCACGAAGAGAGCGAGAGCATCGACGAAATCGAGGGGGTGGCGGAGCATCGTCACACCCAGCCAAGCTCAGCTGGCAGGGAAAACTGGCAGGCAGGCAGGGCGGGCGAAGAGGCGCAAACCTGGACTTCCACGCTACCCTTTGCTGCGCCACACGTACTGGCCACCTGCGCATGCACGCGCGCACGCTCTCTGCAGCTGGCTCTCGATCTGCCTCCCCGCCTCCTCACCTGCTGCCCATCATCGAACGCGGGCCGGCAGGCAGCCAGATCCCGCGCCACTCTACCCGGATCTGGTCTGGTCCGGGCGGCCGGCACCTGCTGTGTCGCCCCCCACCCACAAGCACGCACGCGGAGGCACAAGCTAAGTCATGCAGCTTCCGCCCTTCTGATGCTAGACCTTGCCTGCCTGCTGGCTGCTTGCCTGGCCCAGCCGCTGCCCGCCGCCTTTCGGTCGGAACGCGCTGCATGCCTTTCATCTGCGACAAGCAAGCAAGCAAGAAAGCAAGAAAGCAAACCAGGCAGGGGACCCGGGAAGAAGGGGGAAAGAGGGTCGAGATGATGATGGACGGTTCGAGGGGTCGACCGACTGACTGGGCGCAGGCAGCAGCCTCGTGTCCCCTTCCCCTTCCACTTCCCCTGCGTGACAAGTCGTGGCGGCCCTCTTGTGACATCTGCCGGTGGTCTTCCCTTCCTGCCTCGCCTCGCCTCGCCACGCCCTGGACCTCACCTCGCCTCGCCTTCACCCTCCTGGTCTCTCTCGGTCGACCTTTGGCTGCTGGTGCCGTCTTTCCCCTTTCGCAACCATCTTCGACCCGCATACGCACACATCTGTACCTCCCTACAGCGCAGCTTGCCCGTCGACTTCCCCTTCCCTCCCCCCGCCCTCTCTCTCTCTCTCTCCCTCCCCCATACCAGCTCGGCCTTCCTTCTCTTTCGCAAGCACAACCCCTCCATTTCGAGTTCCTACCTCAAACTCTCGCCCTCACCACCGCTCTCAGCCCTGCCGCCCCGCGCCGACATTCGCCTTCTGCCGTCGTCGAGCTGCGAGACGCTTCATGCAGGCCAGCCCTTCGATGCTGGAGCCCTCACCCATCTCTGCCTAGGCGAGTTTTGATGCAAGCGCTCCGGACCCCTCGAGCCTTCCGACCGCCGCCGTAGCCGCCGTCCGACCCGACCTGCCTGCCCGCCTGTCCTGCACGCACGCCCATCTGCCTGCCGCCCCTCCGCCTCTCCGTCCCTCCGCCTTGCTCGCCGCTGAGCCTCACAGCACGGCACAGCACTGCACCGTCCCCGGCGACAGACGACGGCGGCCAGGATCGCTGTACATCACCTGCCCGCATCATCAAGCAAGGTTGGCATGCGGCCACGCGTCCCCGACCCAAGCACGAGCTAAGATATCGCCGTACTTAGACCCGCCGCCCTCGCCTCGTAACTCCCTCTTTGTCCCGTTCCACCGGCACCCCTCGTCAACCTCTCCCTAAGCTTCCCGAACATCGGACCTCGCGCCTTGGCCGATACCTCGACTTTCGCCGTCCTTTGTCTCTTGCCACCACCACCACCCTTCGCTCTTGCCATCGCCGCCACTTCCGATTCCTGCCATCGCCGCCGCTTTCCACCACTAGCGCCATCGATCTTCGATTATCCACCGTCATCGTCGCCGACTTCACGGTCTCGCCACCGTCCGGCTTCTTAGAGATTGCCACCAGCTTTGTGGCGACAACTGCAGGGCATCTGACAGACTCGCGCCCACACTTCGACTTATCCGCCGGAAGAGGGTCAACACAACTCCTTCACTTCAGCCGTCGCTGACATTGACCAGATCCTCGGTTTGTCATCACCTCGACGCTCGACGCTGAGCCTCTGCGTCCGTGCCCTCGCCTCCTGCAGTGCCAAGGCGCGATACGACGGACCTTCTTCTCGCCCTTAATCGCCATTGCAAGCACGGACTGGCGCCGTCGCTGTGGGGAGATACAACAAGGTGCATCCATCCGGTCCAAAGGTCCGGACCACCCAAACCTAGAAACACGCAGCTGCGATGATGGGAACAGAGAGGAGAGCGAGCCTCGTCGGGATCGCGTCCAGTCCATCTTCGAGCTCGGGGTCGAACAGCGCCGCCGTGCCCAGAGACTTCCAGCCAGCTCCCCTCCAGTCGGCTGCCGCCTCGACTCCAGGCGGTCCCAGCAGCCCGCTTCGCAAGAGGCGTCGGTCTTACCTCATGCAGGACGGTCCCTCAGGTGGCCGGCCTTCGCTGCCTCCGATGACGCTGCCACCGAGCGAAAGGCAGGACGAGGCTAGCTACGGCTCTGGCGCCGGATCTTCGCGCGGGGAACCGGCCAAAAGGCAGAAGAGCGCCTCCCCGCCCCCCGGGTCTTATGAACGCGACCACGAGCGTGGCATGGACTCTTCCTCGCGCCCGCGGCCCGGACCACCTGCGTGGCAGAGTTGGAGCGACCGCCCGGCGCCCCCTGGCCGCTACGGAGGCCTCCCGACCAACGAGCACGACGCCTTGGGCCGCGCTGATGGGCGCTCCCGACCCGGCGAGATGGAGCCACCACATCCTCGGTCGGAGCACGAGGCCAATTGGAAAGACTCCAGCCGCGGTATGGCCGGCTTGGTGGGCGGCAGATATCCGGACGGGGATCGGCTTCCTCCCGGTTTCAGAGACTCTGAACGCCCTCAGAGCGAGCTGCCAGACGCCATGCGAGGGCCACATCGGCTGCCGTTTCCAGGCCCGCCGCCTCCATCGGCATCGGTACCCGCCGACAAGCTTGGGGCCAGCCTCGCCCGGCGGCACCCATCCTCTCCGCCTCCGAGGCTGCCGAGCTTCGCCTCGCTCGACAGCGAAGGCATGGCCGCCAGGCCGAGGGACGACGGACACCCGCCGCTCGGACCTGGGCCGGGTAGCTTCCCCGGCAGCGGTCACCCATCCCCTCGTCGGATCCTGCCGTACCGGCCGCCGGGCCACTACCCGCCCTACCTTCCGGGACCTCAGAGCCGCACACCGATCCTCTCGCATGCTAGCCCTTCGGCCTCGAGCTCTTACGGCAACCCGCCGATGATCCACCCGTCCCTTGCGGGCCTCCCGGGAGCTGGCGGTGGACAGGGCGGCAAGCAGCAGCCCAGCTTCGTCAGCAAGCTCTACTCGTAAGTTTGCCGTGCACACTCGAACCTCGACCTCACGATCGATGCCGGTTGTGCCACCAGTCTGATCACTTCGGGCGATCCCGTCCCTCTGCCCCGCCGTACGTATGCGCCGCAGGATGCTCGAGGATCCTTCCATCGAAGACATGATCTCGTGGGGCCCCTCTGGCACCGTCTTCAGCGTAGCCAATCCTGCAGAGTTCTCTCGGTGAGTGCGGCTCGAGTGGAACGCGGCCCTTGGGCGGACCCGGACCCAGGCTCACCATCGTCTCTGCTTCGTTCTGCCTCGGGCGCTTCGCAGCCTCGTCTTGCCCAACTGGTTCAAGCACTCCAACTGGCAGTCGTTTGTCCGCCAGCTCAACGTGAGTGCCCATCTCTGGTGCCTGCTCTGCTGCACAAGGAGGCTACAGCGCGCTGACTAGCCCCATCACTGCTCAATCCTTCGCCCAACGTGCCTGCTCGCAGATGTACGGCTTCCATAAGGTCAACCACTCCTACCAAGGCAACCCGACCGACGAGATCCAGGTCTGGGAGTTCCGGCATCCCAGCTTCCGCCGCGGCGAAATTGGCCTGCTCAACGACATCAAGCGCAAGAGTTCCCGCCAGAAGCGGACGGGAAGCCCGAGCCGCAGCCTGGCGGGTACCGATCTGCGCGCCGACCGCAGCGGCGGCAGCTCGACGCCTTCGCCCGAAGTGCCGCTGGCGGCCATTCCGGGGAGCGGAGAGATGGGCCGCATGCCCGTCGGCATCTACAGGGTCCCAGGCCGAGAGCACGCCATGAGCGACCCGCGCATGGAGGCGCGCGCCTATGAGCTGGCCACGTCCGACCCGCGCGGGCTGCGCATCGACGGCGACGGCGGCTACATGCCCATGGGCGGCGATCCGCGCTTCCGACGCCCCAAGACCGAGATGCCCGACGTCGGCCCGGGCATGGGTCCGGGCGGCGGACCGTTGGGCGCAGGCAACACGTACTCGGCTGCGGGGGCGGGCTTCCTCGAGGAGCGTGGCTACCCCGATTCGCAGATCGACCGCAACGAGGTGCTGGCGCGCTTCGAGGACCTGTCGGAGCGCTCCGACGCCATCATCCGGCACGCCTCGTTCCTCGAGGGCCAGGTGCGGACGCTCTCGGAGCAGCTCAACGAGTCGCGCGCCTACACCCAGCACTGCGTGCGCGAGGAGCTAACCATTGTCCTCGAGCGCCTCGCCCACACCCTCTCGGCGCCGCCATCCAACGGCGCCGACCCGGTGCAGACGATGCTCTCGGCCATCAAGGCGCACCTCGCTGCGCTCCAGCCTCAGCCACATCTCCGCGACAGGGAGCCGATGCCGCCGGCTGCGTCGTCGCGGCCCCACGCCGCCGCCGCTGCGCCGATGAGCCCTTCGTCGCAGTCGCACGGCTACCCGCCGAAGCGCTCGAGCGTCTAGGCGGATCGCCCGCGACACGGCGTCCGTTGTGCCGGCACGTTGCTCTGCCGGCACGTCTTCGGATCCCCTCCATTTCCGCCCATCGCACTCTACCCTTGCTTTCTCGTTCTCGCATCCCGGTCCCGCCTAATTCCTGCCCCGCTGTCGCCGCTCCATGCATTGGCGGCCGCGGCATTGCCAGCCATGCCCTTCCGTACTTTCTTGCATCTCCCAGTCCCTGCCAGAGCTATACACTGCCATGCTCATTCCGTGCCCTTCTGTATGGACCACTCGAGGTCTACTCTCTCCCAAAAAGGCTGCATCGCCACGTCGACCTGGGTCACACGCAATCCGATGATGCAACCGATGCCTCATCCACGGCTTCAGGGGCGGTCCCCGTTCCTCCTTGGACGCGATGCGATGCGATTCCATCTAGCTGGGCACGACGACGACGCGGTGCTCCGTCTTTCCGACGCGGAGGATGGCGAATTGCCGCGCCGAGGGTGGTCCGAGGAGGTCGGCGGGATCGAGGGTCGTGATGCCCGAAGAAGGCGACTTGGAGGAGGATGGGAGCGCGACGTTGTTGAGGTAGAGGCCGCCCGAGGAGAGGGCACGCTTTGCATCGGCTGCGTTTGTCGGTATCGATGGCGACGACGTGGGTCAGAACGGGCATCGTCAGTCTCCGGGTCGTCGTCGTCGTCCTAGCGGACTGGCAGAGGGCGGGCAGCAGGGAGACGACGACTCACCCCTCGATTTGACCAGACCGACCTTGGCTGCCAACTTGGTCACGTCCTCGCCCACCCACTCGTCCCTACTCCCCAGCTCGACCAGCACCTGCGTACCCCGGAAGGCCTCGACGACCTCGTCGACATCCACGTCCCTCAGGTCCGTCTCGAACATGACCCTGGTCGCCATCTCCGCCCTCTTCCTCGCCTCGACGCCGCGCACCAGCTCCGTCACTTCGCCCGCCAACTTCCGCTGCGCCCCGCGCCTCTTCCTATCCGCCGCATGCTCCCCCATGACCTGCCGGACCGTACCGACGGGGAGCAGCGTCAGGGCCAGCAGGTACTTTTCCACCTCGTCGTCGCGGGAGCGCAGGAAGAACTGGTAGAACTCGAAGTCGGACAGCAGCGAGGGCGAGAGCCAGATGGCGTTTCCCGCCGACTTGCCAAACTTGGCGCCCGACGACGTCGTCAGCAGCGGCAGCGTGAGGCCGTAGGCGGGGTCCACGTACTTTTCCTGGCCCCCGTGCGGCTTGGCGGCGGACGTCGGCGATGACGATGACGATGATGCTGCCAGCTGCGCCGCTGCGGGCGAGGCGGCCTTGAGGCGCCGGATCAGGTCGACGCCCGCCATGATGTTGCCCATCTGATCCGAGCCTCCGATCTGAATCGAGCAGTTCCAGGCTCCCGAGTGGAGCACGCTAAAGTCGTACGCCTGCAGCAGCTGGTAGGAAAACTCGGTGAAGGACAGCCCCACTGCGAGGGCATCGCCGTTGGCCTCGTCGGTCTCGGCGGCCGCCTCGCCCTCGCTGGCAGCAGAACGTGGCGGGACCAGACGGCTCTTGACGCTGTCCCTCGACATCATGGTCTGGATGCGGGCGTGCCTGCCCACCGTGCCCAGGAACTCGAGGACGCCGAGGCCGGAGAACCAGCTCAGGTTGTTGACCAGCCGCACGTCGAGCGCGGGCGTGGTGGTGAGACGGTCGCCAAGCGCCGCGTCCTCCGCCTGCGGGACGTCAACCGCCGCGTTGCCGGGCGCCGGAGGGAAGGGGGCAGATGCGCCCTCCGTCGAGGAGGCACAGAACGCGCGCTCGGCGGCCAGCTCGGCCTCGATGCCTCCATCGGCGCTCTGCGCAGCGGCTTCCATGGGCGTTGGCGTCGCCGCACGAGCAGAGCTGCTGCTGCTAGGCTCGACGAGGTCCTGCCTCCTTTCAATGTACTCCTGGGCCCGCCCGAAGAATTCGCGCAGCTGGTTCGAGATGGAGGCGACGTTGCGGTCGAGCTCGGCCTTGTCGAGCGCCGAACGCTCAGTGGATCGCCCAGAGGGGTCCCCTATCGAACCGGTAGCGCCGCCAATCTGTCAACAGAGCGATGGCCGAGGGATTGTTGGTTCAGTCGATGCGCGAGAATGACGCCGCTTCGACACGGTCGGGGAGGGGACAGGACTCACCAGGGCCAAGCTCCTGTGGCCGTACCTGGCAAAGTGGAGTAGAGCCATGAGCGGGAGGAGGTTGCCAACATGTAGGCTGCGTGCGCTCGGGTCGACGCCCGAGTAGACTGTGCGCTTGACGCTGAGCGCATTTTGCGCTTCCGATGACGGTGCAGAGAGGTGTGCGCGGAGGGAACGGGAGGTGATGGACTGGACGAGGCCTCGTTGTGTGAGCTCGTCGAGGAGGTGCGGGCGTTGGTCCGAGGACGGCCGTGACGAGGTGGTGCTGAGATGGCGCCGCAAGAGGGACGAGCCTCGCAGCGGCGAGCGTCTCGAAGCTAGTGATAGGCGCAGCATGGTCGAGCCCGATGTACCGTGAGGCGATGCCGAGTCGCGAAGAGAGTACGAGGGGCGGCAAGGGGGAACACAAGATGGAGGCCACGAGGTGGAGCAGAAGAAAGGAGGCGTCCATATGTCGGCTTGCGGAAGTCGGACAGCGGCTGCCGTCAGTCCAGGCCTGCCACCCTGACGATGTCGCGCGTCGCGCTGGCCACCTCTCTTTAATTTCGACTCGAGCTCCCACTTTTTTTCAAATCGCCCCGCCTATCCAGACGAAGCCGGGGCGGTGAGGAGGGGGCGAGCAAAGGGTCGGGGGCCGGGGCTCGCTGCCAGGTTTTTTCTTCCGGGTGACGGCGCCTCGATGCTGGGCGACGTGAGGACGAGGGTCAGCAGCAGCAGCAGGCATGCCAGCCAGCCGACTCAGCCCGTCATCCTCCCTTCGCCCTCGCCACCACCTAACCCCTAGACCGTCCATCCCCGTCGGCTTCGCTTCAGAACGAATCGATCCGCCACGGCCCGGTCCATCCTCCTCAAGCAAACCACCGCCACCCTCATCGTCATCCTCTGGCAACCGAGGTCGACTTTCCACCCATCCTGTAGGACTCCGCCTGTGTTCCTCGGCGCATCGCCCCTCCCTCTCACGTCTCCCGAGGGGGACGAGGCACCCAACCCATCACCATGCCCAAAAAGTCCAACAACACCACCGCCAAGGGTGCTGGCAACGACACCGCTAATCGGCCAAACGTTGCCGCGACCGTGCACACACCCGACCCCTCTCGCACCTCTGCGGCGGCCACGACGCCCGCTCCCGCTCAATCTGCGAGAAAGAGGGCTTCCAGGGCCAGCAAAGGTCGTGCATCGGCGGTACAGCAACCCAATCGCTCACAGTCTCCTGACCACCGACCCGTCGCCGTCGTCAAACGTGGAGATGAGCGCAGATACGATGGCTCATCCCGTCTTGGCGGCGATGGAAGCGGCGACGGCGACGACGACGACAACATGAGCGCCTCTTCGGACGACCACGACGCCCGAAGACCCCGCAAGCGCAGCAGGGTGTCCACCCCGCGAGGCCGCTCCACCAGCCGCAAGAGGTCCGACAGCAGAGCCAGGAGCGCCAGCAGGTCCAGGAGCCGGCGCACGGACTGGGACCAGATGAGCGTCGACTCCGAAGACTTGGGCTTTCGTGCGGACGACGCCCCCACCGTCGTCTCAATCCAGGGTCCCTCGGGCATCCGATTCGAGCGTGTCTATGACGGTGAGCACCGTGCGGCCGCGAGCCTCCTGTCGTGCAGAGCAAGGCACCTGCAAACTCAGGGCCCCGACTGACGACGTACTCGCCCTTGATCCCGCCACATGCGTCGCGAAACCGCTCCGTACGACCACCCGGGCATGCAGACAACTTCCCCGAGAGCGTCGAGGAGCTCAAGACCATCGCCAGGCGCAAATTTCGTCTCCATGAGGCCGAGCCTGTCGAGATCTCTTACCGCAATCCATCTGGAGCTGAATGCGGTCTTGACGACAGTGAGTCGATCTTGCCCCGACCAGATATTGCTCGAGAACCCGACTGATCTAATGGACCTTGCCGCACCGATATCGCGCCGGCGCACTCGCTCGAAGACGACGACCTGAGGGCTTTCGGCGCAAATGCTCAGCGCGCCAGCTACATGCTGATGACCGTCAAGGCTGCGGTGCCACACGCCTTTGCGTCGCCCGCTGCGGCTGAGCTCGCACCCCTACCAGCAGCCAACGGATCGATTGCCAGCGCAGTGCCCACCAACGCACCTGTAGCAACTTCGCGCGGCGCGACATCGTCTTCAGCGACCCCGGCAACAGGCGACTTCCTCGCCACGCCGATGCAGTCTGCGGCGTCCAAGAAAGGTGCGCCCGTTACGATCTCCCAGACGCCGGCATCTTCCGCCACACCGACGCAGCCCCAGTCTGCTCTGAAGAAGCGTAAAGCTCGTGCATCCGCCAACCAGTCTGAACAAGAGGTTTCGGGCGATGCTCATAACGCGGCATCGACCCTGGCCGCTCCGGCGGATGCGGCGCCAGCATCGAGCCAGCGCCCTGCTTCCAAGAAGCGCGCTGGTCGCGTTTCCGTCGCCGCACCGGAAGATGCGACGGCGTCTTCGGCCGACAAGTCGGCGGATGCTGCAAGCGCTACCAACGCTGCGAGCGCGGCCAACACCTTCGACCTCTTCGACTGGTCCATGCTACCATCCGTCCGCGATGCGCTGAAGAAGCGTTCCGGTGCGTCGGCTTCGGCAGCGAACACCACGAGCGGTGCTGCGAATTCGAGCCACGCTTCTGCTCCTGGATCTTCTGCCAACGTTCCAGCCGTCCACTCGGCATCGCATCTGGCCAATGGGACCGCGGGCAATGCGCAGCGACACGGGAACAGTTCCGCGGAGTCTGCTCAGGCAACTGAATCTAGTCAGCCAGCCGCTGAGGGCGAAAGGCCCAGCGACGAGAGTGCGGCGACTCAGACTTCGGGTGCGACTGCCGCTGCCGCCAAGGCTGCCGGCACGGCAGCAGGCCAGGACCAAGCGAAGGCGAGCGAACCTCCCAAGAAGCCAGGTCGCAAGCCGAAGGCGGCCAAGAAGCAGCCAGACTCTACCGCAACAGGCGCGGACACGACCGCGCCCGAGGTCGCCGAACCCATCGCAGCCACGCCTCAAGGCGCGTCCGCTCAACCGGCGGATCTCTCACCTGCTGCACCTGAGGCACCGACCGAAAGTAGCGGCCTCGACGGCGCAGTCGCCTCGGCTTCGAGCCCTTCAGAGTCCACTGATGCGTCTGCCACCCAAGGCCCGGCGCCGAGCCAGTCTGGCTCTCAGCCGCCAAAGAAGGGTCGCAAGAAGAAGCAAGCAGCCGAGCCGGATGCAGACCAAGCGGCTGCGCCTTCGCAAGGTCCCGGAGCCGAGCAGGCAGCAGGGGTTCTCAGCCAGAAGGCGGCAGCGCAGGCAAAGGGCGCTGCGAAAGCCAAGGCGGCTGCTAACTCCCAGGCTTCGGAGCCTACTGTTTACGTCGAGATCCCGCCGCCGACTGCCACGGCGACGGCAGCCCCTCCCGCCACGCCAGCTCCAAAGAAGCGAGGCCGCCCGTCCAAGGCCGACTTGGCTGCCCGCGCCGCTGCTGCAGAGGCAGAGAGGCAGGCAAAGGAACAGGCCGGCGAGAATGTGCCGGCCGTCGAAGCGACGTCAGTTCCGGAGCCGCAGACGGCAACCAAGCAGCAAAAGACCACCAAATTGGCCGCCGATTCGATCGCGGAGGACGAAGAGACGCTCGCCGCCACCGCGGACCCCGCCGAGGCCCCGCCCGCCAAGAAAGCTCGGCGTACCACCAAGAAGCCAGCATCGCAGATGCCAGCAGAGTCCCAAGCGGCCGACGAGGCCAACATCGAACCCGCTCTGCGTTCGTCGGCCGAGTCCTCCCCCAATCCCGAAGGAGCGAACGCTGACGCCAGTGTGGGCTCATCGTCGCAGCTGCCCGCCGCCACGAGCGAGGATCGTGCTGCTGTTGCTGCGACGCCAAAGGTGGCCAAGACACCGAGGAAGGCTGCCAGCAAGGTCGTCGAGGATCCCGATGTCTGCGTCTACTGCGAACAGTCCCCGAACCACGACGAGGCGGACTGCGAGCTCTACCAGGAGGGTTCCATCGACGCGCTGAGCGACCGCATGAACGCGCTGCGCTACAAGGTCAAGAAGACGCCCAAGGAAAAGACGGCGGCGTCCAGGCTGGCAAGCCGGGTCGCAAGGCTCTTTACGCAGCGTCGTGAAAGCGGCGGCACTTCCGATATGCCTACGAGCGATTCAGTCCGCGATCTGATGTCCTCCGTGGGCTCTACCAAGCCGACCGGCACGCAGGGCGACCAGGTTGCTGCTGCGAAGGGCAAGGGACAGACTATCGATTCCGCCTCGCTTCCGCCAACGTCCTCGCCCCGCACGCCGCCGCTCGGTGCTACGGGGCATCCGATCCAGATCTCCTCTGACGCTTTTGCGCTCAATGTCCCTGGATCCGATGACCAGGCCGTGACAGAGGAAGAGCGCTTTGCCGAAGAGGTGCAGAGGCACGCGGACGAGGAGGCCGAAGAGGCGCGAAAGCAAGAGGAGCAGCGACAGGCGGATGAGCTCAAGGCGAAGCTGGTCAAGCAAAAGAAGGGGAAGAAGGCTAGCCTGAGCAAGGAGGAGCAGGATAAGCAGGCGGCCGAACGCGCCGAAGCTGCCGCGGCCAAGGCGGAGCAGAGGAGGGCCGCTGCGGCTGCTGCGGCCGAAGCAAGGGCCGCCGCGGCCAAGGGCAAGGCGCCGGCCGAGTCGCAAAAGAGTGCCAAGTCGAACTCCGCTTCGGACACCACCAAGGGCAAGGACGCGCCGTCGGCCTCGACCCAGTCGAAGGGTGCCGGCCGAGCTCCCGCGCACGATCACTCCGATATGCGTTCGACGTCGCCCTTGACCGATCTGCCGACGTCGGAGAACGAGGACCAGCGGCCACCGACGAGCCAAGCCATCGTGGCGGCGCAGCTGGGCGCGGACCTCCGCGCAGACTCGCCGTCTTCCGAGGCGGAGCTCGCCACCAGCCCGATGTTGCAGGCCGCCTCGCGCGAGGATCGTCCGTCGACCGCTCCGAGCCTACCTTCGACGCAGGACGTCGAAATGCAGGACGCCCAAGAAGAACTCCCCCCGCCGAACCAGCAGCATAGCTCCTCGCCCAGCCGGGCCGCGTCCAAGTCGCCACTCAAGACCCCTGCGGCCCGTCGTCGCTCGACGTCGGTGACTAGCTCCGACACCTCGGAGGATTCGGATAGCGATGACGATGACGACGAAGTGGACGACGAAGAAGAGGAGGAGGAGTCCGCAGACGAGCTAGAGCAGAGCAAGGACGACGACCCGAAGCGGGCCACGAGCTCGGCCGAGGCCACTTCAACCATTTCGTCGACCGCCGACGGCAAGAGCGGCAGTGCCTCTCAACGCAAGGAGGGCGGCAACGCGGTCAAGGACTCTCAGCAGCAGCAGGCCAAGAAGAACGGCCGCAAGAGGTCTGACTCGAGCAGCTCCACCTCCTCGATCGACTCGAGCTCCACCGACTCGGACTCGGAATCCGTCAACAGCAGCAGCAGCTCTAGCTCCGATTCGGAATCGCTGCCGCCGACCCAGATCGTGGGCAAGCCCGGACAGCGCAGCAAGGTGCCGTCCTCGACGCAGCCGGCCCCATCGACATCCGCAAACACCAAGGCCGCCGCTGCCGCCTCGACGCCCGTGCAGAAGCTGCGCAGCACCCTCTCGAGCCTCAACCCGTACCCTAGCAGCGCGACCAAGCCGCTCTCGGCCGCCCGGCCCACGCTCGCCAAGGCGCCCTTTGCGAGGCTGACGGACCTGCGCCCCGCCGACCTGCGCCGTTCGCTATCGCAGCCCAACTCGCCCATGGCCGGCCCCGGGGCCACGCAGGCCGGCGGCGCCAGCGGCCTCTTCCGCGGCCGCGTGCTGAGCAGCACGCCGGATGCCGAGAGCAGCCACGGCAGCACGAATGGCCGGGCGGCGTCCAAGCTGCCTGGCCGCAACGGCAACGGCGCCGGCGACTCGAGCGACGAGCTCGAGACGAGCAGCGATGATTCGTCGTCGTCCTCCGACGGCTCCAGCGACAGCGACAGCAGCGACGACGACGGCGGCGCCAACAAGAAGAAGAGCGGCGGCGCCTTTGTGCCCGCCAGCAAGAGGGCGGGCGCGGCCGTCAAGAAGCCAAAGAAGGACAAGAACGTCTTCACTTGCTTTACCAGGTAAAGATCCGAGGGTCGCTTGCGCTGCCTCTCTCTCCCCCGTTTGCTTGGTCGTTGGTCTTGATCGAGGCGAGGTCGAGGAGGGATCGCAGCGCCGTTCTGACCGCGCAGGGGACCTCTCCCGCTCTTCGTCGCCCTCCTGCCTGCCTGCTCTTGCCCCGCCGCTCGTCGCATCCTCGACGGCGGCCACGTCGTTGTCGCCGACCTGCGATCGTGGCCTTGCCTCTGCTCCGACTCGACCTACCTGTAACTCTCTCGAAACCTCGGCAGCTAAGACGATAAAGGCGCCGCTCCCTGCACGACGATAACCCAGCTCGATGCTCCGTCGTCGTCCATCGCGTCTGTGTCGCGTCGTGTCGTGTCTATCTGGGCAATGTAGTTGGGTCCGCGAGGATCACTATCGCTCCTGTCGCGCGTGCGCGGTGACAAAGCAGCGACTGCGCGCGGGAGCAGCCAGGCAGGAAGGAGGCTCCCTTGGCGCTCGCCGGGCGACGGCGGCGGCTCAGTAGTACATCTGTCTGACCTTTTGCTTGACCTTCTTTGGCGAGGATGCGGCGCCGCCTTCGGCCGACGAGGCGGGCACCTCTACGACCTTGCTGGGGATCTTGAGGGCCGACGAGGCGAACTCGTTGCCGTAGTGCAGCTGGCCCACTTTGGGCATCACGTTCCACTTTAACGTGAACCGAGTCGTGTCGATGCCCCTGTTCCGTCACGGCGGCAGGAAGGAAGCAAGGGAGAGAGCGGTGAGTGAGTGTTCGTAGGTTCCCAGAGGATGAGCTGCGGATGGAAGGCGGAGGGGAGGACGGGAGACAAGGACAGAACGTACCCAAACGACTTTGACACTTCTCTGAATCCGTACTTGTTCTGCTCGTCCTGCAGGTCGACGTAGGCGCTCGAGGGCGTGCGCAGGATCCGATCCCAGATGACGACCGAGTTGCTTTGCTGCTCAGGACGCCCCCATGAAACGCAACGTCAGTTTCCCGACATCCGAGGGCCAGGGCAACAGAGGGGACAGGGTGAGGCCGGGTCCACGTACGTTTTTGGCATCCTGGTACTCTGCGACGAGCGAGACAAAGACCTGCTTGGTGTTCCACCTGAACAGGTCGGTAAAGTTGGCCTGGATGTCGAACGAGGTGACAATGTAGTCCTGCGTGCGTCGGTCCATGTGCCAGATGGCCCGTCCCGATACGCTGTGGGGGCAAAAGTCAAGGAAGAGGGACGTATGTGCAGTGCCAGGGTCAGCAGTAGCGGCGGTGGCGGCGGCCAGGTTACCGTCTCGCGCAAACTCGGCCAGGCGCCGGCCACTCACGTCTCGAGACTCTTGATGGCCACTGATCCCGTCGGGTTGCGGCGGGGCGTGGACATGGTGTCGATGATGGCCAGCAGGCAGAGGAGCACGGATGTGGCCAGTGCAAAGACCGAGTTGAGCCGTTGTAGTGAGCTGCGAGCATCAGGCCGGGACCGAGGTGCAGCAGCATCAAGCTGGTCAGTCCCCGTCCGACGGAACCTCAAAGGAGCATGGCGTAGCGAGGCGAGTCGATTGCGTACCTGTGCATCTTTGCAGTGCTTGTCCCTCGTCGATGAGAGGATTTAGGATGGGCCGAGTGATGAAGAGGAGATAAAGGAGGGTGAGGGGGAGCGGGAGGGGGAAGCGTCAAGGGTCTTGCAAGGAAGGCAAGCCTGGCGAGCGGAGGTGGGGATCCGGCCTAGAGCGCGCCTTGAGTTGCCAGCGCAGAAATTCCACCTTCCAGCTGCACCCTCTCGCTGGCGCTCCACGTTGGCTCGTGCACCTGCTTGCTGGCCTGCCTGCTACAGGGCCTTGGCCTCTCAGCCAGGCCTGGTCTACCTATCGCTTCAGTTAATACTCGATCGCAACGCCTCGACAACGGCAGCCTGGGTCAATGAATCGCATTTTGGGAAGCTCGACGTGCTGACCGCCAGTCTTCCTATGTACATTTGTGCAAGCCGCCAACACCCCGGCGAGGTATCCGTGCGACTGCAGCTGGCCGGCTCGATGATCGGATCGCGGCGAGGTACAGATGAGGCCGCCCGCCGTGTGTGCGCCGCCCATCCTCGGGAAGGGAAAGCCAGACGATCGCGTGGGAACCGCCGCGCCCCGCTCCGCCTCGCCGACGACATCGTCGCACCTGTCAACTTGTCTCTTCTCATCCGCCTCTCGTGAGATCTTTATTTCTCCGCCCCCCTTTCGCGCCCAGCGCCTTCCTACTCCTCGTCCTCGTCATCGTCGTCCTCCTGCAGGAAGCGAATGAGGGGCTCGCACGCCTTGAGGAAGTGGGCCTTGCCCTGCGCCTTGGCGCCCTTCTGGGCCCAGTAGAGGATGGCGTCGTCCGAGATGACGTCGCCGTTGTAGAGCGTCTGGAGAATCTTGGGGAAGCTCTTGATGACGCGCGTGTCGGCATAGCAAAAGAGCTGGATGCTGTTGATGAGCGAGATCTGGGCGCGTGCGCTGCTGCAGAACGGCTCGAGGATGGGGCAGTCCTTCTTCAGCTCCTTGAGCACCGCGCCCTCGAGCTGGTCCTGGCGGACGCTCCAGTCGACGGCCTTCATCAGGCCCTCCCAGATGAACGGCACAAAGTCCTCGGGGCCGACACCGGCCGACTTCATCTGCGCCTGGAGGAACTCGACGACCTCGGGGATCGAGGCGGCGTCCTCGTCCGACGACACCATCTCGCCGAGGCGGGCGACGGTCTGGTCGCGGATGTCCTTCTGCTGGCGCTTCTGCCAGTACTCGGCGACCTGGGGCAGGCCGACCTCGGCGCTCCTGAAGTGCGACGCGACAATGTTGGGCTGGTCGCGCTTGGTCTGGGGGAAGAAGAGGAGCCAGTTGCGGACGCCGCCCTTGCGGAGGGAGCTGGCAAGGTGGTCCATGGTCTGGTCGACGAGGTAGGTGCGGAAGACGAGGTCGATGAAGCTGATGGCGAGGTCGTCCTTGGCCAGGTGGTCCTTTTGCAGCGTCGAGAGGACGCTGGCCGAGGCGAGCCCCTGCTGAATCATGAGGGCGGTGGCGACGGCGAGCTTGTTCCTCTGCTCGACCTCGTAGCGGTTGACGTACTGGAGGATGCCGTTGAGGGTCGACTCCTCGAGGGGTCGCTGGAGGAACTTGTAGCGTCGGATGAGCTTCTCGAGGACGTCGACAAAGGGCTTGACATCCTCGAGCTTGTCGCTCTTTGCGCCAGCGATGGAGAAGGGGCTGGGCGGCGCGCCGTCATCGACAAAGGCGCCGCCGGGGGCGAGGATGCCGCCTACAATGAGGATCTCAAACAGCGGGTCGGCATACTTGCGGTACTCGAGCGTGTTGCCCGCCTTGTCGAGCGCGGTGGCAAAGGCGTCCCAGTCCTCGGGGCTGATGCCTTCGAGGTGCTTGTAGAGGGCGTCGCGGAAAACTTCGGGTTCGAACTTGGCCTGGGACTTGACGACGCCCTTGCGCTGCTTGATCTTTGCGCCCGTTAGCGCGGGCTTGGTGTTACCTGTCGGCGCGGTGCCTGTGGGCGTAGAGGACATGAACGGGTGCAGGGTCGAGACGAGGAGTCTTCAACAGAGAGGGGGAAAGGGGGAGGTGTTTCGGCAAGTGGATTCCGAAGGGCGAGGTGTTGCTTGGTCCTGTCTCTGGTTCGAGGTAGGAGGACGTGAAAAGGGCACGGGATTGGCGATGCCGAGGCGTTGGAATGAGTGGTGGTGATTGGTGATGGTACGGAGAGGTGAAGCAAGGTGTTGGCGGTCGGTCAGCCTGGTCAGGGTCGGTTGGGCCAGCAGCCTGGCCTGTAGCCTTGCGCAAGGGGGTTGAGGGATTCGAGGGTCGCCGCCTGCCTGTGGGCTGTGTGGCTGAGAGCGCGGCACCGAAGCCAGGCCGTCGAGCGCAGATTCTCTGTCTCCAGGCGATCACCCGCTCAGCCGTAGGGGGCGGGCTGGATTGCCTAACTCGGCAGTCGGGAACCGGAGATTCAGGGGTCCGGGCAGCGAGGACGGCCCCCCGGAAAGTCTATTCGGCTTCGGCAGTTTGGCTGGCACACGTTGCCGGGGGGTTGGCGGGAGCCCTCGGTTCATGACGCCACCTCCCCCTCCGTCCGAGCTTCCTCTCGAACTCATCGCATCCCTCCCATTGACCGGGCCTAGACGTATCCTCCGTCTCCGAGAGACACTCTCCCGCTTCGCTTCAAACTATCGCCGCTTCTTCGCCATGGCTGCGGCTGCAAAGGCTCCGGCCCCAGCGCGGGCCATACAGGCTTCGCGCTCCGGGCGCAACTCCAACAAGGGTGGCGTCGCCAGCCTCGCCCTCGCTTGGCTGCAGCTGGCCCTCACCTACGACAACGCCAGGACCGCCGTGTTCCTCGTCGTCGTCGTGCGCTACCTGGACCGCCTCCTCCGGCACCTCAAGGTCTACGGCCTCACCGCCAGCCTCCACCAGGTCTACCGCGCCATCTCGGCTCGTGCGTTCGCCCTCCTCCTCAAGACGCCTGCTGCCAAGCGCAAGGTCAATAGGGAACTCCGCGATGCCATGAAGGACGTGGAGGCAAAGATCGTGCCGCGTCCCAAGCACATCGAATCGCAACACCGCCTGCCCGTGCTCGGCAAGGAGACCGAGTGGCTCCGCTCCGAGCTCGCAAAGCTGCAGAAGATGGAGGCCGGCGGCGTCGATGCCAACACCGTCGCCACCTTGTGGCAGATGCGGGACGGGCAGTCGGTGTGGAAGGACGGAAAAGTGTCCGGCGCCGTGTACCATGGCGGCGACGACCTCAGCGACCTCGTCAGCGAGACGATCAAGGCCTTTCTGCTCACCAACCCGCTCCACCCCGACGTCTTCCCCGGCGTGCGCAAGATGGAAGCCGAGGTGGTCCAGATGGCGCTGCGCATGTACAACGCCCCCGAGACCGGGGCGGGTGCGACGTCGTCCGGCGGTACCGAGTCGATCCTCCTCGCCTGCCTCGCCATGCGCGAGTGGGGCCGCCGCACCAAGGGCATCACCGAGCCCGAGCTCGTCGTGCCCGTCAGCGTCCACGCCGCCTTTGACAAGGCGTCGACCTACTTTGGCATCAAGATCCACCACATCCCCGTCGACCCCGTCACGCGAAAGGTCAAGCTGGGCCGCGTCGCGCGCGCCATCAACCGCAACACGATTGGCCTCGTCGGCTCCGCGCCCAACTTCCCCGACGGCGTCATCGACGACATCCCTTCGCTCGGCGTGCTCGCCAAGAAGCACAACATCCTCCTCCACGTCGACTGCTGCCTCGGCTCCTTCCTCGTCCCCTTCCTCGAAAAGGCCGGCTTCCCCTCGGAGCCGTTCGACTTCCGCGTCGAGGGCGTCACGTCGATCTCGTGCGACACGCACAAGTACGGCTTCGGGCCAAAGGGCCTCTCGACGATCCTCTACCGCACCAGCGAGCTGCGTCGCTTCCAGTACTACGTCAAGACCGACTGGCCGGGCGGCGTCTACGCCACCCCGACGCTCTCGGGCTCGCGGCCGGGCAGCATCATCGCGGGCACCTGGACGGCCATGATGAAGCTGGGCGAATCGGGCTACACCCAGAGCTGCCGCGACATTGTCGGCGCCGCCAAGACGATCGCCTCGCGCATCGAGACAGAGGTGCCGGACCTCTACGTCCTCGGCAAGCCGCTCGTCAGCGTCGTCGCGTTTGCATCGCGGCCCGGCACCACGGTGTCGATCTACGACGTCGGCGACGGCATGTCGGCGCGCGGCTGGCACATGAACGGCCTCAGCGGCGACATTTCCGCCATCCACATCGCCGTCACCCGACTGACTGTCCCCGTCGTTGACGAGTTCATCAGCGACCTCAAGCAAGTGACGGCCGAGGCCCGCAAGAAGGCCGGCAAAAAGGAGGGAGGAAAGGAGGGCAGCATGAAGGCCCTCTACGGTCTTGGAACGGGCGTCAGTGCCGGCATGGTCATTGGCGAGCTGGCGAGCCGGTTCATTGATACCCTCTACCTCGTCTAGATTGCCGTCGCCTCTCACTCTTGCCCCTGCCGCTGCCCCAGCCCCAGCCTCCATCTCCAGCCTCTTTGTCCGTCTTCTGTACTCGTTGCCCGCCTCGCTCTGCTTGTTTTTTCCGCTTCCTTCCGCGTCACGAGTGAATGGATAGCCATGGACCTTCTCACCTTTTCCGACTTCAGCCCTGATCGGTGTCTCCACGGTGGAGGCGTGGCATAACAGCATATTCAAGATTGTGCTGGCGCTCCTGCTCGCTTCTGTGCACATGGACGAGCAGCAGGGAACAGAGTTTCCCCACGCCTCTTTGTTCGGCCCGGATCAGTCGAGCACTCGATCCAGCCCTCCCTCCTATGAGCAGAAGGCTGGCCTGCCGGATGCGTCTGCCCTTCCCCTACACGTTGCAGGCCGCAGCAAAGCCAGTCAGCTGGAGCACCTTGACGCTTGCTCACCAGTGATCACCACCTGCTCTGGTCTCACCCCGAGTGGCTTTCAGAAACGAGGAAATGAAACATTTGATCGACGAGCAGCCAGTGGGGCCGAAGCTGACGAGGCATTTTCCCCAGCCCGAGAGGGCCGGGCAAAGGGGAGACGAGGGCGACAAAAGCATCTCTAGCGAGGACGGGAACGGCAACGGGAGAGGATGGGAGAGGAGAGGACGGTGGCGGAGAAAGCGAGCACATCATGGCGTGCGAGATTATGGATGAGTAGCCGGCTGAATCGTTACGGCGGTCGTTCGCCCCCCTGAAAGGGCCCTCTCGCCCTACTGCTGCTTGCACTCCTGCTGCTGGGAGCCGGCGCTGGCGCCCAGCTGGGATCCGGCGCTCGCGCCGAGCTGCGAGCGGCGGGCGGGCTGGTCCTCGTCGTAGTCGTCCTCATCCTCGTCGTCGTCGTCGTCCTCGAAGTCGCCGTCGTCGAGGTCGTCCATGTCCTCGTACTGCAGCGCCTTGCCGGTGAAGAAGTCGACGGCGTGCGGGATGATGCGGTCCTTGAGGTCCTCGCCGATCTGGTAGTCGAGCTCCAGGCGCTCGTCGAGCCTGCAGGGGTGGAGGCACGTTCGGTAAAGACACGAAAGAAGCCATGAAAGGAGACAGGGGGTCAGCGTCGTTCCCGATCCGCCCGTCTCTGCACATGCGGGGTGTCGCGAGGGCGAGGGCGGGGCGCGGCCAATATCCGTCGGATGGAACTCACTCGTCGAGGTCAGCGTCGTCGTCCTCGATCTCGCCGTCCTTGGGGGGCTTGGGCGGCGAGAAGAAGTTGAAGAACGACTCGACGGGAACCGAGCGCTTCACTGTCCTCGTCTGGTTGGTGTTCTTGTTGCGCTGCTTCTTGGTCTCGATCTTGTGGGTGAGGTCCTTGTCCTCCTTCCAGTCAATCTGGCATCCCTCGGCGTGGTCGTAGACCAGGTCTCCCGAGAATCCGACCTCGTCCTGGTAGTAGTAGGCCTTGGTGAGGAGCTGGTTGGAGAAGAACTCGTTCTTGGCCGAGTCAAACTCGAACTCGAGCTTGAAGCCGGCCTGCTCGGTCAGGTAGCTCATGCGGACATCGACGAGGTGGCGCAGCGCCTCCTCGTCCCGCTCAGTGATGAGCTCCGAGAGCGCAATGTGGTTCTTGAGCGCCGTCAGCCAGAACTCGGGGATGCCCTTGGCGGCGTCGGCGGGGGCGGTGGCGGCGGCCAGCGACTCCTTCTTCTCCTCTTCGTCCTCGTCCTCGTCGTCCTGGTCGACGGCCTCGCCGGCCTTGACCTCGTCCTCGCTGGGCTCGTTCTTGCCCTGGATGATGGCGGCGCGGCGCTCGTAGAGCGGGCGGTACTTCTCGGCGTACTTCTTCTCGAGCTCGAGGATCTCCTTCTGGAACTCGGCCTCGATCTTGGTGTGCTCGACCTGGACACCCTTGAGGCCCTCGACGCGGCGCCTGATGTGCGAAGGGAGCGACTCGATGTAGCCCGACGACCTTCCGACCAGGCTGGTCAGCTTGTCCTGGATCATGCCGGCGAGGGCAGGGTTGCTCTGCAGAGCGGCGGCGACGTCTGCGGGAGGTCAACACCAAAGAATAGCGGTGGAAGATGAAGTCAGTGAGCCGCTCCGGTTTGCGAAACGAGGGGTCAAGAGCGGGGCTCCCGGCATGTGGTCCATGCACTGAAATGGACGGCGGCCAGACAAGGAGTGGCGCTGCGAGAGCGAGATAGAGCGCCCTTGCAGCACGCTCCCTGGACCAATGCCTCGCGAGGAAATCCCACAGAAAGCCAAAGCCCTCTCCTGGGCCGGATCGGCCCCTCCGCCACACACGTCCAGACCGTCGCTCGCCGCACCGACTCACCCTGGGCGCTCTCATCCTCCTCGCCAATGGTTCCGACAGTGGGCCGCGAGAGGGCCTCTCGGGTCAGCGGGGCGTTGCTGAGAGGGGTGTTCTGCGGGGTCGGGGCGATGGCGTCGCCTCCCTTGGACCTGCCGATCTCCTGAGCGCCGGACATGGTGGTCTGTGATTGCAAGGCGGGGGGGGGGTTGGCTGGGACGGCGAGTCGGCGGTGTGGATTCCCGTTGAACCGAGGATCAGAGGTCAGAGGTCTGATGCGAGCGGCCTCTGCTGGTAGTGCACGAAGAGCTGAAGGTGGATGAGACGCAGAGAACGGGGAAAGGGAAGGGTCGGGACGATGGACGTGGGTGCGGAAGGTAGAGGGGGGGGGATGTGTCGACCGCCAGCCAACCCAAAAAACCGCCTCCCGCGCGAGCATCCCAACCCAGCAGCAGCCAGGCGTCGGCGGCGGCTGAACGGGCGAGCCAGCCAGCCAGCCACGCCGGCCGGCCTACAGAGAGCCCAGGCGCCAGGGTAGCGTGGCGGCCAAAACGGCGCGGACGGGCGGGGGGCCGCCTCCTGGCGAGCCAGCAGGCCCAGGGCTAGGGCCAGGGCCAGGCCCTTTCTCTCCGGCGCTGAGTGTTTGATTTTTTTCCTAGCCGGGGCCTGCTGGGCTGGCGAGCTGAGCCAGCCACGGGCAGGCCTGCCTGGCCCAACAGGTGAGGTCGAGGCGGGGCGATCGATTTCAAGCTTGAAGTCCATTTCAAAAAGACGGCCGAATACAAACCGGCCCAAGCCTGGCCTGGCCTGGCCTGGCCTGTTGCATCGGGCCCGTCCGCCTGCTTCCCAAGCATCATGTGATGGGCCCCTCCACCGAATACCGTTCCAGCAACGGCCCAGCGGGCGCTCTGACGATGGCATGATGGCATTCCACGAAGCAGGCGAGGGAACCTCCTAAGCCGCCGAGCATCGCTGCCCTCCCTTTCATGTCAAGAAAGGCAGAGAGGTCATCGGATGGGCAGGTGGTGGCGGAGAGGCGGCGGCCGTGCCAGCCTTCGGCCTTGCTTGCTTGCTTGCTTGCTTGCTTGCTTGCATCGCGCTCAAAAGTTGGGAGATGGGCCTGCGAGGTCCGTCCCCCCGCTCCCGGCGCTGCGCCCCCAAAATCCCTCGCCCGGCACAGGGGCAGGGCGGGCAACGTTGTAGGCATCCGTGCGAGGTCGATTGGCCCGACTGGCAAACATATCGGCTCTGCCGCCATCGGGCTTGCTTGCTTGCTTGCTTGCTTGCTTGCTTGCTTGCTTGCTTGCTTGCTTCCTCCTTCCCCACTCGAGCCGTCCAGGATGACGGCGTGCTCTCACGGCTCCCCCGGCTGGCTCCCTTGCTCTGATGCTGGGGCTCTCGGATGTCGAATTGGGCCGCGTCGCTTGCTCGCCCGCCTCTTTTGCGGGCGACCGACAGCGCAGAGGTGGTCCAGGAGGCACTACTCTCGCAGTCGGTAGGTGCTCGAGCCAAAGTAGCGCGGATCAAGCCGCATATTCTATCTGCCGCCGCCATCAACACGAGCCCTGGAGGCTTCGTGGGGAGCTGCGAGGAGACCGGGAGCGATCGAAGGCGATGTAGCGGCCCTCCCCTCACCGTACCACAATCTAGGGTTCGCCTGCCATCCCGAGCGCGTAGGCAGGCTGAGCTCCAGAGTCGACTCCGCGACCGCAGCCTCGACGAGCCTCGCACACGGTTTGTTCCATCTCGCTGCCATTACGGATTGATGTCGACTCGTCGTCGGTCGGCGAACACTCACTCTGGCTTGCACCCTCCTTGGCAAGCCATACCGGGCCTTCCCTGCTGTTGCCGTGAGAGCATCGTCAGAGGGGCTCGTGCCAGCCACCTCTTCTACGGCAGCTGGCAGGACGCTCCCTGCTCATCCTGGCGACGTAAACGGCTCCTCGCCCCGCTGTCCCTCCCTTCGATCTCGTGGCAGCCGCGGGGGTCGCACCCCAAAACGCGGTACAGCACCGCCTCGGCCCAAGGCTGTGCTGTCTTCGGGCACGAAGATGAGGACGTGGATCTCCGACGACGACGTCGACGCCCACGCCGTACGACCATGAAGCGTGGACTCCGATATCAGATAACCCCGCCGAACAGGCAGTAGTCAGGCTAGGATTGCGGTCGCAACAGTCCATCCGGCGGTGCCTCGTACGGAAGATCCCGTAGGAGCCCCTGCTGCCGTGGACGCGACAACGGTGGCCCACATGGGTCGTGCAGCCCTCTCGAACAACGGGTAAACATGGGCAGCATCCTCGCGATGATCCGGCGCTGAGTCGGGCCGTGGAATCGGCCCCAATCTGTCTCCGCCCGACCAAGAGCTGCCGGAGGCGAGGGAGGGCGTAGCAGACCATCAACGTAGTGACAAGAAGTCGCGAGGCCCAGAGCAAGAGTCTGCGCCTTTTGCCCGACGGTCCGAATCGCGCGAAGGCGCAGGGATCAAGGGTTCTGAAGAGGGCTGGCCATCTGTCCGAGCTCGCCTGCGGCTTGACCGGCTCGGTCCCTTCTGAGGACGTTGGCTTTCCAAAGAGACGAAGGCGTATGTGCGACAGATGGAGGGGTGCGCAAGGGAGACGGGCGACCATCTGGTTCTTGATCTCTGTCGGTCTGCTGCTGGCGTGGAGTGACCCGGATTGCTGGCTGAGCCTTTGTTTCGCGCTCGTGCCGAACCCATGACAGCTAGATACCATCGCAGATCCCCAAGCGGCGGTGTGCAGCTGCCACCACCACCTGGTTGCATGCGAACGCACGCCTTCGACGACGATGATGCGGCGGCCGCTTGCTTGCCTGCTTCTTTTTTTCGGGTTGGCGATCTGTGCTGCGCCCGAGCCGACCGCCAGGCCTCCCGCTGCGTGGTCGGGCGCGCCCCGTTTGTGTGCCAGGCCAGGGCCTGGCCTGGCTCTGGTTTCAACCGACCTCCGCCTGGCCTCGGGCTCAGCCGTGACTCGCTCCTTCACATCCTTCCCTGGCCATCCTACCACCCCATTCTGTCCCTCTGCCCGCCGCCGCATCCACCAACCGCCGTCGCTCTCGGCAACCCTCGTTTCTTGTTCTCGAGGATCTCTGCCGCCGCACGCCGCCGGTAGCCACAGCCAGCCAGCCAGCCAGCCAGCCCGTCGGCAGGCCAGCGATCCATCGCTCTGCACACATCCTTTCTCCCACCCTTTGGCCTGACCACGCTCGAGACCCTCCGGAACCCAAAGATACCCTTCCTCTGAGGCCGCATCCTGCCTGTACTCCGCTGCTCGCCGCGGGTCGAAGCTGCAGGCCTGTGTCTCTTGCCGTCCTCCGAAGCAGCCCGGCACCTCGCCTGCCGCCTCGCCACCCTACTTCCGAACGTCCAAGGCCAGCCAGACAGAGCGCCGCCGGCAGATCAACACGCCGCCAAGGGGGCCGCATCCGCATCTGAGTCCGCATCCTCGCCTCACACGGCCATCACATGGTCAGCAGCGGGCCTCGGACCTCCTTGACATAGCATCCCTTCCCGCAGACCACGCTGGACCACTCCGATCTGTGTTGCGACCGGCCGATTCCAGACTCGGTGAGTGCTTGAAGAGACATGCTTGCTACGAATACCACGCCAAACCTCCATCAGCATCTGGCCAGCCATTGCCAATCTGCAGCTCGAATGCTTCTGGCGGTGGCATCCAGTCCGAGGGCCTGGTTATAAGCGCATCGCCTCTCGGTGCTCGCCCTCTTGGCTGCATCCTCCTCCGCGACCCACCCCAACTGCCTTCCTCTCGGACACTTTTCCGCATCTTCCTCGCGCCTCGTCGTCGCCGATCGGGCGAGATCATCACAGCATTCCAATCGCTACGCCGGATTCCAGCTACCCTGTCCATCCTCTAGCCGATGTTTCCATCTTCTGACTTCGACGTCTCCTCGACCTCCCCATCATCCTCGCGTCGATCCTCGTCTTCTTCGATACACGCGCACAGCCTCCCCTTCACTGCTTCCGACGAAAGTCTCTCGACCGCGCCAACCTCTCCTGACTGCAATACCGCGTGCGAGCGAACCTCGAGGACCCCAGCTGCACATAGCACAGATCAGCGGCGCACTTTGCTGCGAGGTCGGGAGATGAAGCCAGCGGACCTGGCTCTCCCAGATCCGGTCAAGCAGGAGAGGTCCGACACCTTCTACGACCCTTCTTCGGCCGACGGCTACAGCGGCCTCGTCCAGAATGCCTTCCTTGGAGACGGATCCGGCCACTTGGTCGGCGATTCCTTGAGCGGTCCGAGTACGGGCTCATCGCTCGACCAGGCCAGGCAGTTTCGAGACCCCAACGCAGAAGCCGCCGCAGCCAGCCCCTTCTCCAGCCCGCTGGCATTGGCGGGCTCGCCTGGCAGCCACCACCGCAGCTCTTCGTTTGGCTCCGAGGCCGTCAGTCCCCCGTCGTTCTCCCTGACGACCCCGCTCCAGTCCCTTGGCCAGCTCGGACAGATCTCTTTGGACGACAATGGTCACCACTTCGCCCCCACGCTTGATCAAGATGCCGCCGAGACGGCCTCAAATGCTTCGTTTTTCTCGCATTCCAACAGCCCATCGCTAGTGCCGTCCCAAGCGCAGGCATCCTACGGCGGAGGCTCGCTGGCGGACGCTCATCCGGGCCTCTCCTCGTTCACGTCGACGCAGCAGCACGGTCAGCCCGCGCAGCCGCCCACTCTGACGGCAAACGCGCCGACGCCGCCGCAGCTCACCCTCGGCATACCGACCGTCTCGGTGTCAGATACGACGATGGCTGCCGCCGAGGACATGCCGAGCATCCAGGTCATGGCCCCGTCGCCGTCGACGCCTAAAGCCGCCGGCAGGCAGGGCTCCGGGACCGGGTTCCAGCATCTCCTTGCTCAACTGCAGATGGGTTCCCTCCCCGCACAGACAATGCCCGGAGCACGACCGGCAGTCCAGCAACCGACTTCGATGACGTGGTCGATGGAGCCTGAAAGCTACTCCACACCCTCCTACGCCGGTGTCAGCGGCGATGCTGGTGTGAACACCAACACCGCTTCGGCAATGTCCGAGATGCAGCCGCCACAGACGACGCTGGGACCTGGCGGCTACGGCGATGGCTCTGAGACGACGTACGCCGAGCTCTCTGGCAGCCCGAGCAAAACGGCGTACGGCCAGGGCCAGTGGTCCAGTCAGGCAAAGAGGCAGGACTCGTACGACCGTATCCGCCAATTCCTGCGCCTCGACGTCGACATGGGGTTCGCCGGTGGTCCGCGGTTCGACTCGCCCACCTCGAGCGGCTTCCGCAAGCGGTCCACGTCTGACGTCGGGCCACGCTCGCCGATAGCCGGCCTAGGCAGCGATCCGGAATGGCTGCGGATGCTCGATCACATCAGCACGTCCGGCGGAGATGGTACACAAGGGTGGCCGACTTTTGACAAGGCGTCGAATATAGGAGCGCTTGGGGAGACATCAACCGTCATGCCGGTGCACTTCGACGTGCCGGCGCAGGCCAACACGATGGATCCTTCGTTGCTGAACGGCGCGTCATCGACGGCTTCCCCCAACCCCGTCATGACGGCAGCGAGCTACTCCAGCAGTACGAACGCCGACGCCAACGTCGGATCGACGCTTCCATATCAGAACCCCGGCTTCGCCATCTCTGCACCGGCCGACCAGGAGGGGCGTGGTCAGTCGGGCGGCGACACCACGATGGACCTCAGATCGTCAGACGCGGCCCAGCCCGCCCCGGCGATGCAGCTCAACCAGGGCTGGAGATTCCCGCTGACCAATGGCAGCCCCGCGCCATCGCAGCAGCAGCAGCAGCAGCAGCAGCAGCAACAACAACAACAACGACAACAGCAATCGACGGGCATGTTCAACTTCTCATCGCAGGCGGAAGGCTTGCAACCTCGGCGGTCGCACAGCCCGCGCAGCGCCGGCGGTGGTCATCGACGAGGCGCACGGTCCGAGGACCTCTCGCGGTTCGGTACGGGCCTGTTGCCCAACGACGACTTCCTCACCAGCATCACGGCACCGGATGGCGGTCTGGCACCACCAGTGACCGGGAGGACCGTCTCGGGCAGCAGTGCCGGCTCGAACCTGCCGAGCACCTCGCTCTACTCGTCTGGCAGCGCCCGCGCCCATCCCTACCGTGTCGGGCACGACCGTCACCAATCTTGGAGCTCAAACGCCTCGAACAGCAGCGTCGCGTCGGCAACAGGCTCGGCCTCACCGGCGCACGGTGCGTCCTTTTCGCCGCTTCCCGGACAGCCCGGTGGCGCCACAGAGGCGGCGGAGCAGTATTCGAGCACCGCTCTGCCGACGTATACCAGCCTGAGCGGACGCTCGGCCTCGGTGGCTTTCAGTGTGGCTTCACCGGGCAGCACCTCGTTCATATCGGCGCCTCCCGTGCCCGTGGTGACGAGCCAGGCGACGCAGGCTGCTTCGGCCTCGCGGCGGAAGGGCGAAGCCCTCTTCAGCTGTCCGGTGCCTGGCTGTGGCTCGACTTGTGAGTGCCGTCCTATGCCCTGGCGCCTGGATCAAAGTTGGCGGCATCATCTAAAGCTCTGCTCACATCGTCGTTCCAACCATTGTGCCGCTTCCTTCCTGGCCTGCTGTCAACAGTCACCCGCCAGTACAATCTGCGCGGCCATTTGCGGTCGCACGCCGACGAGCGGCCATTCAAGTGCGAATGGCCAGGCTGCGGCAAGAGTTTCGCGCGTGCCCACGATTGCAAGCGGCATCAGAACCTCCACCTCAACATCAAGCCCCACACCTGCGAGCACTGCGGCAAGACGTTTGCAAGGCTCGACGCCCTCAATCGGCACCACAAGACCGACACGGGCGGTTGCATGACCAAGTCGTCGGAGGATGGCAGCGATACCGACGAAGCCTCGATGGGTGGTGCAGCGGGCGCACCGGGGGAAGCTTCCCAGCCGGGAGCGGGTCTCGGGCGATCGGCGAGCTCCAAAGCAAAGGCCTTCGGTGGCCATGTTCTCTGAGCTTTGCGTGGCGTCGGCTCTTTGCACAAGCCTATCCAAGCCCCCCCTCCGTCTGCCTGCTGAGCGCCAGCGTCAGTTTCTGCCGCCAGAGAGCGCTCACGAAAGGCTATCACCATTCTTCTCCAGCGTTATCACCTTGACCCCTCGAGCGTCGCATCAACTACCCAGCACCTCGCATCGACGGTCGACTGCTACGCAGCGGTCATGCGATCCGCTCTGCGTCCCTGTACCAGTCCCGGCCTGACCATTGTCTTGACCCCAAGCTCCGCACTTCCCGTGTTGTAATCTTAGTCGACCAGCCCGCGCACGGCCCATACCTCGTCACCATTCGGCGTCCTCCCTCCATACCTTCTGCCATGGCCGTTGCGGCTCCCTTCTTTTCGTCCCTGGGGCGCCAGAGGGCTTGCCGTGGTTGTCCCTGCCTGGAGCCTGTCTCCCAACGTCAACTGAGCTTTGGTGCGTGCGCCTCCCAGCCACACGGCTAAGGCGATCGGGCCTCGTCGGGAGGAGGCGCCTCGAGATCGATTGAAATCGGGTGAGGCGGGGCCGCGATGAAAGGGTCAGGGCCACAGGCAGCCGTCGACAGGGGCCCCTGCCGCCAGCTCGCACACGCCAACGCAAGCAACACCGCCGCCATCTCCACCACCACCTCCGCGCCACCCTCTCACCGCCCGTCACCCGTCTCATTAACCACCCCGTCCTCTTCGCCGCTCGCGAACTCAGTCATAGTACACGGGGAGATTGACGATCTAGGATGAAGCTCAGCCTGCTATCCTGCACGCTGTTGGCGGCCTCGGCCTCGGCCAAGACGACCCTCTTTCTGTCCTCGTCTTCGACCTCGTCGTCCCAGGCTGCACCTATCTCGATCGACGCCGCAGAGGCCAACGAGATCCTCTCCGACCACCTCGATGTCACGTACAACGGCGCTCGCTCTGGACGCAGCCAGATCTGGGACCACGTGCTGAAGCTAGACGCAGCCAACGAGGCGCTCGCTTTCGACCAGAAGGCCTCCGTCGAGCGCCTCTTTGACGGCAGCATCGACAGCAGCAAGAACAGGCTGTTTGTCCTCATGCACGGCGCCGATGCCGGTGAGTATTGGCGTGCTCTCCTCGCTCACCTTGCCATTTGTGCTGTTTCTGACGCTGCCTTTCTGCGTGCTTCCGGTCTCTTCTTTGTAGACGCTGTGCCCTCGAGCATTGGTGCCACCCACGAGATGGTCACTTCTCCCTCCTCGGAGTCCTTCGATGCTTTGCTGAGCTCCTACTTCGGCGACCTGCAAAACACGCTGCGCCTCAACGATGGAGCACTCAACCACTTCAGCGCCAACTTCCTGCAGGGGCTGGGCTCGCTCGCCACAGGCGTCGAGCACGCCATCGGGGGTGCTGCCTCGTGGCTGATGAGCTCGTCGGTCGAAGCCACAGCTCAGCGAGCATCGCACTGGTGGTCCGACCTCCAGAACCTGGTCAAGGACCGGAAGAGCGCCGCCTTTGATGCGGTGCAGGCTGAGCTCGAGGCGGTCCACGGACTGCTTGACCGCATCCGCTCCGACGGGCAGACTGAAGACGACCTCGCCTTCCAGCCTCTTCGCATCCAGGGCCTGGGCGACGTGGAGGCGGCCTACGGTGCGGGTAGCATCGAGTATGCCAAGGCCAAGAAGGTAGTTCAGCAGGCCCTCGAGGAGCTCGCAGACGCCTTCCGCTCGCGATCCCAGGCGCAAGGCCGGGACGCCTCGATCGCGTTGATCCTCAACGACAACGAGGCGCGACTGGGCAAGCGTTCTGCGGTGCCTTCCGGCTCGCTGCTCGAGCCTTTCCTGAGGCGCGCCTCGCCGTCCGGTCTGGCTGGTTCGTCGAAGAAGAAGAAGCCGGTCAACCTGATCGCCTCTTGCTTCACCGACCAGAAGGAGCTCGAGAAGGCCAGCAACAGCTGCTCGGGCCACGGCAAGGCCAGGCAGACGAGCAAGGGCGGGCGCAAGTGCTGGCGATGCCAGTGCCAGGCTACCAAGGAAAAGGGCCGTACCACGTACTGGGTGAGTATCTGGGATGATGCACGCGGCGGCCCCGGACGTCGCTTGCCTTGCTGACGGTATGCTCTCCCCTCTTAACTTCTGCGTTCCGCGCTGATCGGCGACGGCATCGACGACAGGCGGGAGCTGCCTGCGAGAAGAAGGACGTGTCGACCGAGTTTGTGCTGCTCGGCACCACGGGCTTGGTCTTGGTGCTCATCTCGCTGGGAAGCGTCTACTATCTGTACGCCGCTGGCAACGCCGAGCTCCCTGGAACGCTGGCGGGCGTCACCATCAACCTCAAGTGATGCGGCGTCGTGTTTCTTGGCCCGATCGACCCAGGATTTGCGCGGGTTGGCGAGAGCGTGGCGAGGTCAGCCTGCGCGCCTGGACGGAAGGAGGTGTGGATGCCAGCTTCACGGTCGCTTGGCAACTCGTACGCCTCTACATGGAATCGAAGATACTAGCATGACTCTTCGCGTTCGATGGGTACCGCCGTGTGCTGTTGTATCTGGTCGGCACGCCCGGAGGCTGGCCATCGACAGGCAGGGGAGGGACTACTCTGTTGAGCGGTGCGGGTACCGACGAGGCAGACGCGGCGCGGCGCAGCGTATCGACATGGCCTGCCGTGTGTGGAGGCTGCCTCGGCCTGGCCGTCGTGGCTTGGTCTGGCCTGGCCTCGCCTGCCTGCATGGCCACACCCGGCCTCGCGCTCGGACCACCAATAGTCATGAGTGGGCCTCCCTCCTTTCGTCTTTGCCACCACCGCCACCACCACCAAAATCATCATCACCTCCTCCTCGACAACAACAACAGCAACCACGACAGCTCGCCAACCACCGCTAAGCCCTACTGCCCTCTACCACTGTTCTGTCCCCCCCGACCTTGGGCCTTGAGACCAACTCTGCCCGCGCTGCCTCGAATCCTGCTTAACGCTGATCAGAACCGCAGACGGCGGCCAGAGTAGCGGCCCGGCTCAGCTCGCTGCCCCGTCGAGCTTTAGCCCCAGCAGGCATTGGCACCGTCTCCATGTCGTAACGGGATCCTCTGCTCGCCGTAGCCAGGCCACACTTGCAAGATGGACCTCATCCCAGCCCATCGGCCGCACGAGTTGCAGGTCATCCTCCGAACGTAAGTGCTACGGCCGTTGCCCGACTCCCCCGGCCGAAACACCGGGGCACTGACCCGCCGTCGCCTCGAACATCTTCGTGTTACACCGCATCGTATCGTGCCGCAGCCGCGACCATGCCGCCCTCTACGACCCCTCGTCCAACTCGCTGTCCATGCAGTCGAGACTCCCTCTTTCCAGCACTTATTCGCAGAGCTCGGCGTTGGCGCGTGTACGCCAAGGCAGCGCCGGACAGCAGGCCATCCCCTTCTACCCTCCCTCGACCGCTCATCCAGCCTTGTCCGACGGTGCGGAAAGCGACAACGACGATGGCGCAGCTCCCATCGTTCCTCAGTCAGTGCTCTGTCCAGCCTGCCTGCGGCCGCTGCCCACCAGTCCCCCCATCGAGGATGCTGGACATGCAGATCGGTTCGACAGGGACACGCCGGCCTACATTGCACCCAACTACTTCCGCCTCCTAGCTCAGGCCTCGTCGGTCCCGGGCAACGGCACCGATACCCGCCCTCCGTCACCCCCACTGGGCCACCGCCGGTTTGTCGACAGCGGAGACAGCTCGCGCTGCGCAACGCCCGAAATCGACGCGGGCTACACATCGCCCCGGGGCTCTGGCGCCTCAGCCTCGGGCTCTCAGCCGCTGGGTCCTGGCACAGAGGCCGACGGCTACTATGCGAGGTTCTTTGTCGAGATCAAGAAGCTGGGAAGGGGAGCTCGAGGCACCGTCTTCCTCTGCCAGCACGTCCTCAACGGCAACAAGCTCGGCCGGTACGCCATCAAAAAGATCCCCGTAGGCGACCACGCCGAGAGTTTGCTCAAGTCTCTCAACGAGGTCCACCTCATGGAGTCACTGCACCACCCGCACCTCATCCACTACCAGCACGCATGGATCGAGAGCTGCCAGGTCAGCGCTTTTGCGCCCCGCGTGCCGACGCTTCACGTCCTCATGATGGCGGCCAACGGCGGCAGTCTCGCCGACTGGGTCTCGGCGAGATCCGGTGAAGCTGCCAACGCGTCTCCGCGTCCGAGCAATGCCAACAGCCCGGCTGCGTCCGGAAGGGGGGCTACCGCCGGCGGAGAGAGCAGCAACCGATCCTCTGCCCAGCCGAGTCGTGCGAGGCTTGAGAAGCTGAAGGCGGCGGTCCGACAGCGTCGAGCTCAGAGGGAGGCGGCACAGGTGGGCGGCGATCAGAGGAGTGCGGCGGCCATTGGTGCGAATACGGTGCTTCCAGCGTCCTTTGCGAGCGGCGTTGATTCCGGTGTTGGCGTCCACCTGCTTCGAGACGACGAGATCTACAGCCTGATGCACGACATGACGAGCGGCCTGGGCTTTCTGCACGATCGCGGCATCCTCCACCTCGACATCAAGCCGGGCAACGTGCTGCTGCACTGGGACGATGACGCGCTCATCCCGCGGGCGATGCTGAGCGACTTTGGATCCAGCATGCTGCTCCACGACAACTGGACGCGGCAGCGCTCTGGTCACACGGGGACGATGGAGTACATGTCGCCAGAGACGCTCACGACGGATCCTTCGACGGGCAAGCTGAGCGAGCTTTCCAGCAAGGCCGACATCTGGTCACTTGGTAAGTGGCCTCCTTTGCCCGCGATCAAGTCGGGGGACCCGCTGACTGGGTCCTGGCTTCGCCGTTGGGAACGAGTAGGCATGATCTTGCACCTGCTGCTCTTCTTCCACCTGCCTTACTCGCAGGTAGATGACGTCGACCGCCTGCGCGACGAGATGCTAGCCTACCGCGGCTTCAACCGCGCTTCCATGAGCTCGCAGGGTACAGCGCTGCGGCGGCAACGCCCTGCCAAGCTAATCAGGCTCCTCGAAAGGTTGCTCAATCTGGATCCGGCCAAGCGGCCAAACTGCCACGAGATCTTGCAGATCCTGGCGTCGGGCCCAGAGCCTGCCGACGAGGTGAGTCCGCCATGGGACCGTGACGGCATCAACACGGGATCGTCTATGAAGGCTGATCGGGATCATCCTCTGCACTCTCATCTGCAAGAACGCTCAGGACGCAGCGGCGGAATTGCTTGCGCTGTACCGTCGTCGATCGCCCTTTGAGGAGTGGTCGCCGTCAAGCCCGACCGAGAGCGGAGGGGACAGGGTCGGCGCGCCTGCGGCGCCCGTGTCGCGCTTGCCACGACGACTCAGTCTGGGGCCGGGGCCCGAGGGAGTGAGCAGCCGGTCGGGCTCCGGCTTGATGCTGCGCCGCATCCGACAGAGGGGCGCTCAGTCGCAGCTCGGCGACGCCATCGCCGATGCCATCTGGATCGCCACGGGCATCGAGCTGGATCCCATCTTCGTCCGGATCTTGCTCGCTGTCGTCCTCTGCGTCGGAAAGGTGAGTGAACTTGGCCCCTACACTCCTTTCTATAACGTGACGACGCGATCGCCGGCTTGAGGCAACGCCGCTGACGCTATGCTATTGCACCCTCGCATGGTCGATGCACGCGTTTCGCCCGACCCGGTCGAGCAGTGCCTGAGCCTCGACCTCGTCTGCTTCCGCCACGGGGAGCGTGCAGCGGTAGCCACGTGGTACCCCGTCTTCACCCTGGCGCTGAGCGATGTCGCCGTATCGTGAGTCTACGAGCGACAGCGTGTTTTGCGTTTCGCGCGCAGCCTTGGCTCTGGTATGGTCACTGATATCTCTGCCCCCGGGGCACGATTGATTACGGCTTCTGCGATACCGATATCAAAGGGCGATATCGAAACCGTACTCGCTCGACCTGGCCATTACCTCGACGCTGCTCTCGCTCCACATCGCCCTGCTCCTCTCCGCCCGCTCGGTTCTCTGCGTCACCGTCTAATCCTTCGCTACGTCCTTTCCCGCCGCCCCGCATCCACCTCGCACAATCGTCCCGTCCCGCCTCGTTGCTTCCCTCGTACTCCGCATCTCGCCCTCGCATCTGCATCTGTTCCTCATCCCCCATGACCTGCGTCTTCTCCGCACCGCCCTGCCTCGGCCGCTCCGCGCGGCTTACCGGTAGCAGCGGCATCAGTCATCGTCGAAATCGATATCCTCCTCGCCATCGACGCCTTGGAGGATGGAGTACGTCGCCATCGCTTGCTCGGCGTTCCGTTCCGCGTCGGTGGGGACCGAAGAAGGCGTCGGCATCGGCATCGCCGTCTCTGTCTCTGCGCCCGGCGCGGGTGCAGGCGAGACGAGGGACCGAGAAGGCGGACCGACATGAAACCCAATCGACCTCGCCAACGACGCGAGGCCGCCCGACGTCGATGTCGATACGTCTTCTGTCGATCCCGCGTCTTCTCTCCCCTCATCCTCGTCTTCCTCCGCCTCCTCGTCTTCGTCGATGTCCGAAGAAGAAGAGTCGTAGGCGACCAAGGCGGTCAACGTGCCCTTCTGCCCGCCGCCGACCGAGGACGAAGGTACACTCGCCGGGGCAGCGCGTGTCGGATCGGTCTTGACCTTCTTCTCGTCCCCCTCTTCCGCTTGCGCTTCGGCTGCAGGGACGCCCCACTTTCTCTTCCTCACACCACCATCAACCTCGTCGCCGTTTCCACCTGTCGCGGCGCTCGTGCCGGTACCATGGCCACCGTCTTCGCCGCCGCCGTGTCGGGCTTCGACGAGCCGGATGCGACCCTGCGCGATCGCCTCGTCGACGTCGTGCGCGTTCCAGAGGTGCAGCGTGGCGTACTCGACGACGGCATAGTCGGGCGGTAGCGTCTGCAGCAGCCTTTCGATGCCGATCGTCTTGGCTGGCGAAGAGGGGACGACGAGGTAGGGTTTCGACGTCGTCGTCGTCGTCACCGTGGCTGCGTCTTCTGCTGTCGTCCTCCCGGACGGTGCCGTGGCAGCCGGTGGAGGTGCTGTGGGTGATGCAGCAGCTGGGGCCAATTGGGTCGCAACGGAAGGTAAGGCGGTGCGGGCGGGTATCGGTGGCGATTTCGACAGACGTGCAGCCGGAGCTGGCGCTGCAGCTGGAGGTGGAGCAGTTTGGTGCAGCGACGAGAGCTGCGAGAGGATATGAGCGGGGATGATGGAGTTGTGGCCGGCAGAGGTCGTGGCTAGGGATGCCGGAGGCGACGATGCCGAAGCTCCTGGCTGTTGCTGAGCTTCAACGGCCGCTTCGGGTGCGCCCCACGTCCTCATCTCCCTCTGAGGCTGCTGCAGCGGCGGCTGTGGCTGCGCCCCGTTGGAGTCGGCCATCGATTTTGGGCCCGTCGGAACGCCGGGCATGCTGGACCTCGGCGCCTTTGAGCCCCGTCCCTTTGCCCTTTTGGCTGCAGCAGCTGCCGCTTTCGCCTCTGCGGCCGCCGCAGCCGCAGCCTCGGCCTCTTCCCTGGCGCGAGTGGCCTTTTCGTACTCCTGCTTCCGCGTCCACCACTCGAGGTACCTGGTTGTGCTCTCGTTGCGCAGTCGCTGGTCGTGCAGCGAGACGAGGAGCCTCCAGTCGTCCGGCATGGCGGTGATGACGACCGCGTCGGCGTGCTGCGCGGCATCCTCCTTGAGCGCGACCTGCGAAGGCGGAACCGCCAGGCCGAGACGGCGCAGCAGCGCGCGCGAGAGGTACCACGCCTTCTGCGACGTCGAAGCGGCCTGCTCAAACTGCATCGTCTTGATCTCCTTGCGCGTGAAGCTGCGGCGCTCCAGCTCGTCGAGCACGATGTGGTCGACTGGCCTCTCGCCGTCGACGCGGTGGAGGAGGGCGGAATCCTGGCTGTCCTTGCTGTCGGGACGAGGCGCCTCGACCTCCTGCACCCCGCTGATCTTGACCGCATCCTTCGCTTCGTCATCCTGAGCTGCCGGCGCTGGTCCTGGCCCGTCGCGGGACCCGCTCGCCGCCGTCTCGGCACCCTTGCTCGTGCCACATCCGAAGCGGACCTCGACGCTGTAGCGCATGGCCTTCTCCTTGTGGTTCCAGGTGGTCTGGTTGAGCTTCCTCGCCTTCATGCCGTCGGGGAGGAGCATGATGTTGAGCCTGCGGAAGCCAATCTGCTTCCTCAGCTGCTCCTTTTGGCGCTGCGCGTTGGTCTGTCGGAGGCTGCTGGTGGGATCGGGCCGCGGCTTGATGGCGTTGGGCCCGCCGGGTGTCGATGCGGCCGGCGGAGGCGGGAGCATGTTCATCTTGACAATCTCCTTTCCGATCGCCTGCGAGGAGCGCGAGATGCTGTTGAGGAAGAGGAAGTCGCTGTACAGCGTCGACTCGTTGTACTGCGAGAGGGGGACATAGCCGGTCGAGGATCCAGGCGCTGCCGCTGCAGCCGTCGCGGCAGGTAATGGCGATGCAGCGGATGCTATGGCGGTACCGGCGGCGGCGTCGGCGGTCGACGGCGGGGAGCAGGCATCCGATGCCTTGTGCGCCTTTGAGCAGGCGAGGCTACAGGTTTTGAAGCTGCAGCGCGGGCAGGTGTACTTTGCCGGTGCGGCCTGGCACTGCGAGCATTGCACCGTGACCGCCGATGGCATGTCGGTAGGAGGAGGTGGAGGGTAGGGGGCCAGCCAGGTGGGCCGGTGTTGGAAGGATGCTTGCGGCGGCGGCGGCGAGGACGGGAAGGTGAGGGTGCAGCAGGAAGATGTTTGACGCGGGCGCAACCTCTCTGAGCTGCAGCTCTCTGCTGGGTTTTTGTCGGCCAATTTGCCGCTTCACTTTTTTTCCCTCCTCTGTGGAGGCCGTTGACGTTGTCGACGCTGACCCGGCGAGGAGGGCATTCCCGGCAGGCAGCCAAGGCACAGACCGCGTCGTTCCACGCCTCGCAGACGGCCGTCACCTCGTCGCCAAGATGATGATGATGGAAGAACCCAGCGCGATGCTCTGCCATGCGGGGAGGATCGAGTTACAAGTACAGGTAGGGGAAACATGCAGTGGAAAGGCGAACAGGCCAAGGGCGTGGCCGGAAAGCCTCTTGTGGTGGAGCAAGGGCACGGGTTGGAGGCGTCCATCAACGACGGCCCCGCTTCGAGCCGCCCCTTCCACCGCCCCTGCCACCCCTGCCGCCGCCACGACCACGACCACCGCCACCGCCGCGCGGCATGCCCGCCTGAACCTCGTCGTCGTCGCGGTCCATGGCGTCGTCGTCGGTCTCGCCGCGCCTCCGCTTCTTCTTGCCAGCCGCGCGGTTGCCGCCCAGCCCCTTCTCCTTGAGCTCCCTCACCGCAGCCCGCTGCGCCTCCGACACCCGCTCGCTCAGCAGCATCACCGCCTCCTTGTCGCTGCCCCCCGGGAACTCCTGCATCTTCTCGCCCGTCACCGCCTCAATCCGCTGCAGCAGCTCCACGTCGTACTGCGTCACCAGCGTCACCGAGCGCCCCGAGCGACCCGCACGCGCCGTTCGTCCGACTCGGTGGATGTAGTCCTTGGAGTGCGTCGGGATGTCGTAGTTGACCACCAGGTCCACGGCGGGGATGTCGAGACCACGCGACGCCACGTCAGTGGCGATCAGGATCGAGCGGCCGCCCGACTTGAACTTGCTCAGCGCACCCAGGCGCGCCGACTGCGACAGCTGGCCGTGCAGCGGGATGGCGGGGAAGCCGAGCAGGCGCAGCAGGATCGACAGGCGCTGCGCATCGTGCACCGTCCGCGTAAAGACAATCACCGACTGGCCCGCCTGCTCGTTGGCCAGGTGGACGAGGTAGGTGTCCTTGTGCGCAAACGGCATAAAGAGGTAGTACTGCTTGAGCGTCGAGACGGTCGTGTACTTGGTGTCGACCTCGACCCGCACCGGGTTCTTGAGACTGGCGCGCTGCAGCTTGGCCACCTTGGTCGTCATCGTGGCGCTGAAAAGCATCGTCCTGCGCTCCCGCGGGATCGCCTGCAGCAGCTTGTCAATGACAGGCCCAAAGTCCATGTCGAGCAGCCGGTCGGCCTCGTCCATGACCAGGTACTGGAGGTTGCGAAGGCTAAAGCCCTTTGTGTTTTCCAGGTGGTCCTGCAGACGGCCCGGGGTGGCAACGACAACGTGGGGCCGCTTCGAGAGGGCGATGGCCTGCGACATCATGTCCATGCCTCCGACAATGGTGGCGCAGCGCGCGCCTATTGTCGAGCCGAGGGCCTCGATCTGCTGCGTGATCTGGTAGGCCAGCTCGCGCGTGGGCGCCAGCACGCATGCGAAGAGCGGCTTGGGGTTGTCCCACAGCGCCTGGAGGATGGGGATGCTGAAGGCGGCCGTCTTTCCGCTGCCCGTCTGGGCCAGTCCGATGACATCGCGGCCGGTGAGAGCCTCCGGAATGGCCTTGCTCTGGATCGGGGTGGCGTACTTGAACCCCATCTTTTCGCAGGCCTCGCACAGCTGCGAGTGGACCCCGAGCTCGCGGAACGTCTTCTTGGCCGCTGGTTCGTCGTCCTCCGCATCGCCGCCGTCGTCTTCGTCGCTGCCGTCTTCCGCGCCGTCTTCATCTTCGTCTTCGTCTTTGTCGCCCTCGCCTTCGCCTTCGCTCGCATCTCCGTTGTCGTCAGCCTCGGCGGCCTCCTCGCTGTCTTGGTTCTCGGAGCCTGCGACCGAAGAGTCCCCGTCCTCCTGAGCGTCATCGTCTTCGCCGTCGTCATCGCTCCCATCCGCTTGCTCATTGTCGTCTTCGAGATCGCTTTCGCCACTGCCCTCTGCTGACCCTGTATCCGAGGCCGAGCCGCCTTCGAGGTCGGATGTGGGCTCCGTCGCTGCTGGAACGGGCGCAGGCTTGGCAGCGCGCTTGGCCTTGGCCGCTGCAACAGCGCTCTTGGAAGGCATGTCGGCGTTTCAGGGGCGCGGCGCCGATGAGTATGTGTGTGATGGGTGCGTGGCTGGAGGATGTCGTTTGATGTGGTCGTCAGAAGTGGTCGCCAAGTGGTCGCCAAGTGGTCGTTGGAGGTGGTCGTCGAAGGTGGGCAAAGGCACACCGAGAGAAGTTTCGGCTGCTGCTCCACACGCCAACCTTCTCTGCGTCGAAAAAACTGAGGAGCCGGCGAAAACATCGGGAGTCAGGGTCCCATTTTTTTCCGAGAACCGAAAAAAGCACGATCGGGCTGCCAGCCAAGTGCCAGCTCGCAGCTCGGCCAGGGATCGCGGCGTGCTTTGAGGTGCAGGCGCCAGGCGGCAGACGAGCGGTCCCCACTTCTGGGCTCAGGCACTGGAGCAGTGTGGTCGCTGTTGCGAGGGTTGCCCTCCCTGGCCAGCCTGTCCCGTCGCCCCAAGAGTTGGGGGTCTCAGGCGCCTCTGGGTAGGCCGTCGTCGAGAGCCCCCCCGTTGGCCCCATCACGTCGTCTCCTCCCAACTGGTATGCTCCCAGCGCCAGGACCCGGTGCTCACCACCACGTCTCGCCATTCCCCTCGCTTCCCATCCGCTATTCTGCCACTCGACCCTCATACATCCTCGTAGTTCCTGTGCAGCATCGCTGGGACGCCTTCACTTGGCTTGCCTTGCGCCGCCGTCGCCGTCACTACCGTCGCGGTCGCCGCATCGTGCTGCGATTGTCGTCTCGGGGCACCACCCGATCGGCCCAGATCGAGCCTGGCCCGTGTCGGAGACGCGAAGGCAGACAGGCAGTCAGAGTCTGGCCTGCCTGCTGGCCCGCCGAGCGAGAGAGCGCGCGCGGCGTCGCTTGCCCGGCCTCGCCTGCCTCGGCCGCTACCCTCTGCTGGCGGGCTAGCCCAGGCCACACGCCCTCTTTTTCCTCGATCCGGCACCGATTCCCGTGTTGACAAGCTTCCACCATTTCCGCCCGTCGCGCTGCTCTCGCTGTTGACGGCCGGCTCAACCTCCCCTCCACCGAATAAGGCGACCCGAAGCCTTGCTCGCCGCGTTCGGTCCCTTTGCCCCGCCGACGTCGTCGCCATTGTCGCCGGCTGCCTATACCCTCGCTCTGCCATCTCGTCGCTGCAGGTCAACCCTGCTCGGGGCGATCAATTGGATGTACAACAGAACCTTCTTGGCGTAGCGATCCCCTAATCTCGAGCGAGTTCCGACCCGCCGCGCCCACCTCGTCTCGCGGCCGACCCAGCACGACGCGCTCTCCAGCATCGATCCGTCACCGCCGTCGCCTTCGCCACTGCCGTCGCCATCGTCGCCCTCGGCTCGTCTACCTGTGGTCGCACCATCGGAACCTGCAAAACTTCGACTTCAGCAGCGCTCCGAGTCGCCATCTTCAAAAGAGGAGCAGCTACGTGGACGCGACTATCGACGCATCGCAGCACCACGCGCGCTGAATCCCGCCTGTCCACACCAGCCGCGCCCCGAGATCGTCGCTTCGTGCTCTTGCACATCACCTTCCTCAGCACGCGTCACCGTCAAAGTCGATCGCAGCCTGCGCGGGCATATTCAAGTCACTCTGGCGCCTGATCGAGCGGCAAATCCTGCGCCGCGCGCTCCGGCACAAGTAGCTCGAGGGCTGCTGCATCAAGACCCGGACATCGAGCTCATCCTGCTGTCCTCGGCTGGGTCTGCATGGTGACCCTTAATCTGGGACCGGTTCCGGCTCTGCTTTTCCTTTGAGAGACCCCCGGCCGTCAGCCCACGCTCTCGGATCAGGCCGGCTCGTCTTTCTCAAGCCATCGAGCTCGACGGCCATCGTTTGGCGTATCTCGAGGCAGGCTGGAATCCTCGCCGCTCAGTCTGAGTGACCATGACGGTCAGCCATCGCAAGAACAAGCCAGCACCGAAAGCGGACAGCGCGTCCGCCACCACCACCGCCGCCGCCGAGCCGGGCGTCCGCTACCACTGCGATGCTTGCGGCGCCGACATCACGCTCACCGTCCGCATTCGGTGTGCTGAACGCTGCCAGGACTTTGACCTCTGCGCCTCGTGCTTCTGCTCAGGCGCGCAGGTGGGCAAGCACCTCGCCTCACATGCCTACCGCGTCGTGGAGCAGCACACCTACCCCATCTTCTGCGACGATTGGGGCGCGGACGAGGAGCTGCTCCTCATCGACGGCTGCCAGATCTACGGCCTCGGAAACTGGGCCGACATCGCCGACCACATCGGCAACCGCACCAAGGAGGAGGTACAGGAGCACTACATTCGTGTCTATGTCGAGGGCCGCGACGGCACAGCTGCGGGCGATGCGCGGGCGGAAGAGGCGCTGCGGCAGTATGCCAAAGTGGCCAAACCCACGGTCGATCCGTTGATGGAAGAAGGCACGGGCAGCAGGACAGCGCTCCATCTCCAGGGCGAGGAGCCGCCGGTGGTCGGGCCCTCCTCGAACTTCACGCCTTCCATCACGCAGGATGAGTTCCAACAGCGCAAGCGTCGTCGCGTCGAGACGCTCCGCGAGGCGCAGGCGTCCTACTCGCCGCCCAAGTCGGCCAAGCCGCTCGTCTCAGCGCCGACCAACCACAGCGAGCTGGCAGGCTTCATGCCCGGCCGTCTCGAGTTCGAGCACGAGTACGAGCAGGAGGCCGAGCACCTGATCAAGGACATGGAGTTCGGCAAGGTGTACGAGTACGGCGGTGCCGGCATGCCCAACGAGTGGGAGGCGCTCGGCAGCAAGGGTGCCACCCAGGGCCACCAGAGAATGGAGGCGAGCGGGCGCGGCGGACCCACCAGCAAGAAGGGCGTCCAGAACGAGGAGGGCGAGGCAGAAGAGGGCCAGCAGCCCAAGGACGACGACGACGGCAGCGCCGACAAGGACAAGGACAGCGACAGGGATAAGGATGCCGAGCCCGAGGACCGGGCCGCCGACTGGGACGAGGACCCGATCGACCTTCACCTGAAGCTCACGGTGGTCCAGATGTACAACGAGAGGCTCGACCGCCGAGCTCGACGCAAGCGCTTCATGTTCGAGCGCAACCTGGTCGACTACAAGCGTGTGAGTACTCTATACACGCTCAAAGGAGGCGCTAGGTCTGGCCGGCATCCGAGCGACTGCCTTGCACCGACCTCGGCGCTGTGACGCTGCCTGGCCATTCATTTGCTGACGCCCTGCTGCTCCCCCTCCTTCGACCCCTTCGCCCCATCAGAACCTCGCCGCCGAAAAGCGGCGCATCAAAGAGGAGCGCGAGCTGCTGGCGCGGACAAAGCACTTTGCCCAGATGCAGACGGCGCTCGACTACGAGGACTTCCTCAACGGCCTCTGCTATGAGGAGGCATTGATACGAGCGGCCGCGCAGCTGCAGGGCTATCGGAAGATGGGCATCCTGACGCTCGACGAGGCGGCCGCCTACGAGCGCGAAAAGGCGGAGCGGGCAAAGCGCGCGGCCAACATTGCCGAGGGCGGGCTTGCCGCATTCCCGGCCGCCGGTGCCAGCGGGCGTCAGCGCAGCGAGGTCGTCCGTGCCCGGCAACGCGAGACGAGCACACCGGCGCCGCTCGACGATCTGCCGCTCGCCTCTGGCTCCGGTGCCACGCCGGCCGCCGCGGCCCCACCTTCCGCCAAAGAGGCGGCTCCGTCCAAGAAGGAGAAAAAGGACAAGGAAGACAAGGACAAGGAGCCCAAGGCGCCGCGGAAGCCCCCGCAGCCGCTCGACCTGGCCTCTTCGCCCTCGCTCCACCTGCTCACGCCGGACGAGGCGCAGCTGTGCTCAACACTGCGCATCCTGCCGCAGCCCTTCCTCATCATCAAGTCGACGCTGATCGCGGCCTTTTTGGCCCGCGGCGGCAAGCTGACGCGGCGCGAGTGCCGCACGCTGGTCAAGATTGATGTCAACAAGCTGGGCAAGGTGTGGGACTTTTTCAACGACATGGGCTACTTTGACGCGGCGCGCGAGGCTGGCTGGACGGGAGGCGTGGGCAGCCCGCCACGGCCGGACAAGAGCAAGGACGGCGCCAACGGCGGGCCGAGCAAGCCGGACTGGCTCAACGGCAGGATGGCCATGTCGGCATCGTACTCGTTTGGGCCGAGCCCGGCCGTCGACTCGCGCGACGGCCCTCCGGGCGGCCTCGCCGCGTCCGCCGCCAGTACGGCGGTCAGTCCAAATGGCCTGCCTAACGGATTCGGAGGCTCCTTCAAGCAGCACTCTCAGGCCACCCAGGCGCAGCAACAGCAGGCCCTGCTCAGCCACAACGGCCGAGGCGCGCCGCTCGTCGCTGCGCCGGGCATGGCGTCGGGACCCACGCCACCGATGAGCTCGGGCGGGCGCGGATCACAGAGCCCGCGGAAGAGCGAAAAGTGGCGGCCCACCGCCGCCGTCTGAATGCCGACAAGGCGTTCCCTTCTCTACCAGCGCGCTCGCACTCGCACTCGCGCTTTTCTTCGACCTGCGTCGATCCCCCTCTTCGCCGTCGTCGTTGGCGTCGACTCAATCGGCGCCGCCACTAGCTTTTCTTTCTTTGCATACCCTGCGCCTGGCGGCTCAGGCGACAGGCCGCACGCCCCTGTCCGTGCCTCCTCTTGTCCTTCGGCGAGATCTCGGAGAAGCCACCCGGTCCACGCCCACTTCTCCTCAAGGATCCCCTGTATTACTAGTCTCTGGCTTTGCCTCCTGTGCACCTCTCTCTTCCTGCCAAACTCTGACGAACAGATCATGCCATACCGGCCGCACTCGAGGCCGCGTCGGGGCCGGCCTGCGCGCCGTCGCGGCAAGGGCAGCAACGACGCTGGCAAGGAGCCTCGCCTGACGGGCACTTCCCGCCGTCGGCGCTGAGCCGCGAAAATGGCCGAGCGGTGGTGCTTTGAGTTTTTCCAGGCTCTTGCCGCCCCTCGCACTTTTTTGGCTCGCCGCCGCCGCCGCCGCCGCCGCCGCCAATCTTCTGAAAACCAAAGCCGAGCCTGGCCCGACTCGGAATCAATCGCAACCCTACCACATCCTTATCTCGTCTGCGCAGTTTCGACGCCGCCATCGTTATCGCCACCGCCACCGCCATCGCCGCCACACCGCCTCTCTCCTCTCATCTCGTCTTCCCCCACCGATAACCTGGACCATGTCGCACTCAGTCTCGCTCGCCGCGTACCAGTCCGACTACATCCAGCTGGCGCTCGACTCGGACATTCTCCGCTTCGACGGGCCGTTTACGCTCAAGTCTGGGCGCAGCTCGCCGTACTTTTTCAACGCGGGCCTCTTTAACACGGGATCCAAGGTGGCCAAGGTGGCAGAGTGCTACGCCAAGCGCATCGTCGAGAGCGGCGTCGAATTCGACGTCCTCTTTGGGCCGGCGTACAAGGGCATTCCGCTGGCCGCCGCCACCGCGCTCGCGCTGCACGCCCACCACGGCATCGACGTGGGCTTCTGCTTCAACCGCAAGGAGGCCAAGACGCATGGCGAGGGCGGCTCGCTGGTGGGCGCGCCGCTCAAGGGGCGGGTGCTGATCCTCGACGACGTCATCACGGCTGGCACGGCCATCAACGAGGCCATGGACATCATCTTTAGCCAGCCCGAGGCCAAGCTGGCGGGCGTCGTCATCGCCCTGGACCGGCAGGAAAAGAGCTCCAAGGACGGCGTCGAGGGCGAGACGAGCGCCATCATGGAGGTCGAGAAGCGATACAACACCAAGGTCTACAGCGTCGTCAACCTCGACCAGATCATCGAGTACATGAAGACCAAGGACCAGCAGGGCACGGCATACGGCAAGCAGATCGAGGGCATGACCGAGTACCGCGCCAGGTACGGCGTCAGCGAGATTGCAAAGGCCGAGGCGGCCGCCAAGTCGGCATGAGAGCGGGCCGGGTGGGCCCCCGAGGTTGTCGTCCGTCGAACCCTTCTTTGGCGCGAGACTGTCTGTCGATTAAGAGGCGTGCGTACGGGCGGGCGTCTTGCCAATGTCACATACCGGGACAGCAGAGAAGGGATGTTGTCGGCTGGGCGTGGGAGCTGGCCAAGGTGCCTACTACTGATGCGAGTGCGGTGGTGGCGAACAGAGGCAAGGCTGGGCGGGACGCTGAGGGGCCAGGCTCGAGCTGGCTGAGCCTGAGGCGTGCGTGTGCTTGGCGCGGGCTTTGACCTCCACCGCTGCTGCCGGCCCTGCGCAGCCCAGCTAAAAGAGACTCCAGGGGGCAGCAGGCGGGGGCAGGCGGCGTGCGTGCGTGGCCCACCCGCGAGCTTGCCAAAGCAGGGTCCAACAGACCTCTCCAACCACGTCCTCGAGCAGCCTCAACAGGCTAGGGCCCCTAATCGCTAACCCAACCCACCAGCACCGCCACCGCCGCCCTCGACATCGTTGGCCGGCAGTAGAAGCTCCTCTTCTGGCCATCGCACCGCCATCGCGGACCCATCCTGCCTGACCGCCGTGCAGCGATCTCTATCATGACCCACCGCTAAAGACGCCACCCCTCGACCCACAAGCGCTTGCACCGACGACACCGTTCACGACTATCATACCCTCATCTTCTCAAGAAGCGGGGATACATCTCGCTCAATAGACAGGCTCCGGCACTGCGCAACAACCATCCGAGGCTGACGACTCAGAATGACTTCCAACGCCGCCGGCGACCGGGCTCGCAGGGCTCTGCTCGAGGATGCGAGGGAGGAGGAGGCCATTACGGTCAACCAGCGCGCCCTCATCGACAAGGTGAGACAGTTTCCTTCGAGCCTCATGCTTGCTCTCCTCAGAGAGCTCTCTGCTGAATTCTGGCTGCTCTGTGCTCGCCGTTCGGCCCCAGATCCTCGCTCGGTACGCCGCCGAGTTCACCGTCTTTCGCGAGCTGCTTCAGAACGCCGACGATGCCGGTGCCACACACTGCGAGCTCCGCTTCGAGACGCAGCAGAAGGCGTCGGCATCGGCATCGGCAGTTGCGTTGCCCGCGGGCAACGCAACTGCCGAGCCGGCGGGCTCCTCGACCAGCTCTCTCATCCCCGACTTCAAGGCCACGCTGCAGAATTGGGTCTTCAAGAACGACGGCAAGCCCTTTGGCAACGACGACTGGAGCCGCCTCCGCCGCATCGCAGAGGGCAACCCGGACCCTGACCGCATCGGTGCGTTCGGTGTCGGCTTCTATTCGCTGTTCAGCATCTGCGAGGAGCCCATCGTGTCGTCCGGCGACGAGCTCATGGGCTTCTTCTGGAAGGGCGATGCCCTCTTCACGCGGCGTGCCAAGAACGCCGCCACCGAGGTCTCTCCGTCGGGCAAGCCATGGACCACGTTCTTCATGTCGCTGCGAGAGCCTGCGCCGTTCCCCGATAACCCGCTGGTTCTGAGCAAGTTCCTGGCCACCTCGCTCACCTTCACGACCCAGGTGCGCGGCATCAGCCTCTACTGGGACGACCAGCTGCTTTGCAAGCTCGACAAGAAGCTCAGCCCGCCCCGGCCCATGTCGATGCCCGGTCATCTCAACTCGTCGAGCCCGGCACGCATCATGAAGGTGCGCGAGCTGCAGTCGACCTCGGTGCAGATCGACGTCCAGGCGATGCAGCTGGTCGTGGCGCTGGCCGAGAAGCCGAAGCCACGCCCCTCGCTCACCGCCGCCCTCAGCAGGTCGGCGGGCGGCGGCCTTACCTCGATGCTGCAATCGGCATTCGGCTTCTCGTCGAGCACGGCCAAGGAAAAGGAGCGCGAGCGCGAGCGCCAGGCCGCACGGGAGCGAGAGGCTGCCAAGCAGAGGGAGACGTCCGACGCCGCGAGCATGCTTACAAGCGTATCCGCGTCGATTCACCTCCGCATCGCCACGGCCCACATCAATGTCTCCGCCGACAAGGCCTTCGAGCGTGAGATCGAGAGGAGCACCAAGAAACCGCCACCAAAGACGACGGCCTTCCACATCATCTTCACCGGCAAGGAGGAGTACGATGCGAGCTTCCCGGACGCCGACGACGCCGACGACGACAGCGAAGAGACCGGTGGCACTGGCTCTCCCAGCGCGGGCAAGGCATCGCTTGATCGAGGAGTGCGGCAGATCTTCCAGGGGCTGATGCCGAGGCTCGAGGAGCAAGGCCACGCCTTCATCGGCTTCCGCACCCACCAGACCAGCGGCTTCAGCGGGCACATTGCCGCACGCTTCATACCCACCGTCGAGCGCGAGTCGCTCGACTTTATCGACCGCTACTGCGCCAAGTGGAACTCGGAGCTCCTCTCGATGGGCGGATACGTGGCCCGGGCGGTCTACGAGAACGAGCTGCAAGAGGTCGGCCGGATCTGGACCGAGCAGATCGGCCAGGCGCGTCCCGCCGACGACAACAAGGACGCCAAGCTGCTCAAGGAGCGAGCGCTGCACCTGATGCGCTTCTTCACCTTCCGCACCTCTTCGCCATCGTCTCGCGTCTACTCGCTCTTCGAGACGGCCTTCTTTGGCGCCTCGCGCCAGGCGACCATCTCGATCATGTCGACGCGCGGCGTCAAGCACTCGGCTGCCGTCCGCCTGCCCAACGCGCTCCTGGCTGACTTCGTCAAGGATCTGGCGGTCATCCCCCCGACCCACGTCGAGCAGGCCGCTGAGTTTGTTCGCGAGGTGAGGACGAGGAACCTGGTGCAGGATATCACGATGGACGACGTCTTCAAGGAGCTGTCCGGTCGCGCTCTCACACCCACGGAGATGGTCGCCTGCCTCAAGTGGTGGATCTCGGTGGCGAGTCATCCGTCGTACGACATCAGCCTGCGTTCGAGGCTGCTGGACAACGGCGTCGTGTCCATCCCTGCAGCCGGCACCGAAGGCGATGCAAAGGGCGGCAAGGCGTCCGACAAGATCCAGAGCCTGCGGTCCGTGCGAGCCTACCTCAACCCGCAACGAGTCCCCACCGACGTGCCCCTACCGGACTCGTGCCTGTCGTACGAGGTCTCCAAGGCCCTCTCGCCCGCCGACTTGAGCCGCGTCTTTGGCTGGGGAGAGCTTTCGATGCCGACCTGGCTGACCCACGTCGTGGCGCTCAGCTCGGCGGCTGGCGTCGACATCGAGTCCAACATCCAGCTGTCTCCGGCCTTTTCGGAGAAGGTGCTGTCCATCGTCGCTCGCGCCTGGGGCTCGTTGCCGATGCAAGCGCAGGTCGACACCAGCGCCATCCTGCAGCCGACCACCTGCGTGCCCACGCGCAAGGGGATGCAGAAGCCTGCAGAGGCCTACTTCGCCAACGTATCGCTCTTCTCCGACCTGCCGATCGTCGCCTTCCCCACCGCGCAGGTCAAGGGCAACCTGGAAAAGGTGCTCATCGCGCTCGGCGTCCGCAGGCACGTCGAGCTGCAGATGATCTTCAACCGCCTGGTTGCCGCCGGCGACTGGTCGCACGTCGACCTGGTGGCCTACCTCGCCGCCAACAAGGACACGCTGTCGAGCATCGAAAGGGACCGCCTCAAGAAGACGGCCATCTTTCCCAAGGAGGGCGAGGCAGCGTCGCCAGCGGACGATGCCAGTGGCAAGCCGCGCATCGTTCGTCACCGCGCCTCGCAGCTATACGAGCCGACGGATGCGCTCAAGGCGCTCAAGCTGCCCGTGCTCGACTGGTCCGGCAAAGCGTGGAAGCCCAGCTCCGAGGAGGCCAAGTTCGTCTTTGATCTCGGCCTGCGTCGCCACCCGCCCCTCGAGGACCTGCTCTCGCTCGCGTCGAACACTGCAGACGACAGCCTGCGTGCAGGCGCGCTGCGCTACCTCCTCGACAGGTTCGCCACCGTCTACCGGAGCGACTACACGCTATCGAAGGCGAGCCCGTACGCCTTTGTGCCGTGCAGGCTGCCAGAAGGTGCCACTGGCAGCACCGGCAGCAAGCGGCAGCTGTGCAAGCCGACCGAGGCCTTCACCAATTCCGAGGCCGAGGTGATGGGTTGGCCGGTCGTCTCGACGGCCGACGTCAGCCCTACGGATGCCCCAAAACTGCAGCTGCGTGCCAACCCGACGAGCAGCCAGCTCATCGGCCGGCTCGTCAACAAGCCGACACGCGACGAGGCCGAGGCGCGCAGAGTGTTCGAGTATCTTGCATCCGTGCCCGAATTCACTCTGGCCGACTACGGGATCCTCAAGACGGCCGAGTTCATCCCCGTCAAGCAGCGCAACGGCAAGGGCGACGCCAAGGCCAAGGCCGAGACTGAGACGGTCCTTGTGGCGCCGGTCAACTGCTACTTTGGCGGCAACAGCTCGTCGCCGCAGTTCAAGGACGTCTTCTCGTACTGCGACTACGGGCCCGTGGCGGGCGCGTTCCTGCGCAACTGCGGCGTCACAAACGAGCCGAGCATCGAGGAGGTTGCCAAGCGGCTAGTGGCCGAACCGGAGCGCTTTTACCAGCTGGCGGGCAGCACCGACGCCTACCTGGGCATCCTGCGTCAGATTGCGACCAACTGGAACCGCATCCGCGCACCGCTGCGCTCGGACATGAAGCGGTCGCCGTTCCTGCTCGGTTCTAAGCGCATCACCCAGGCCCCAGCATCGACGTCCGTCAAAGCCGGTGGCAGCAAGGTGCCGAACCTGATGGACGTCGACGATGAAGAAGCCGGCGACGACGAAGACGAGGGCGACGATCCCGGTACGCTCGTCTACGCGCTGCGCCGGCCTTCCGAGGTGGTCATCGTCGACGACGCAAATTCGCACATGCTCTTTGGCTCGAGCGTCTTCTTTGCGCCGCACGAGGATCTGCTGCAGGAGGGCCTGTACGAGCAGCTCGGCTCGCCGAGGCTGAGCTCGCTGGTCGAAGAGCGTTACTCGGCCGAGGGCCGCTTGCTCGAGGGCACGCGGCGCTCCGAGGAGGTCAAGGCGCTCGTCCTCGAGCGGACGCCGCTGTTTCTCTTCGAGAAGCGCTCGACGGCCAAATCCGAGATCCGCCGTGATGCCGACTGGCTCAAGTCGGCGCTCGAGGTGGTCGAGGTGGATGGGGCCGGCCTGCGCCTGACGCGAACGCTGCGCTTCGGCGACGTCCAGGAGGTCAACGTGCAGAAGTCGTCGGCGATGGCATCGCTGCGCGGCACCAAGCTGACGCTCTTCTTCTCGTCGGCGATGGAGGTTGACTACTTTGAGGTGGCCATGGCGCTCAACAAGTTCCTGCTGACGAGGCAGCGGCTGCAGGAGGTGCTGCTGTTCATGACGCTGCTCTCGACGTCGCTGCGCAACCTCAAGCGGCGCGGCTTCCACGTCGACAAGATCCTCCAGCAGCGCAAGGCGGACCGCGAGGCGGCCGAGACGCAGCTGCGAGAACAGCGGATGCAGGCGGAGCTGGCGGCCACTCAGGCCAAAGCGGTCGAGGCCGAGATGGCCGGATTCCGGAAGCAGGTGCTCAGCGTGTTTCCCGACGCCGATCCGGCCTACGTCGACAGGCTGCTGCGCTCGCAAAAGGAGCTTCACGTCGAGCGGACCATGGACGACATGCTGCAGAACTCGTATCCGCGCCGGACCAAGACCGACTCGTGGACCAGCAAGGAGGTCGGCGCGCCCTTGTCGCCGTCGCCGTCGTCGTCTTCGATCGGACCGCCGGCGCTACAGCAGCCGCAGCTTCGAGCCGGTGGCGGTGGTGGCGGCCTCTTCTCTGGATTCAAGAGCCGTTTCATGCAGTCCGCGGGCTCGAAGCCGTCGTCGCTCGCCGACGGCACCTCGTCGATCGAGCGCGGACCGTCGCTGCCTGGCGGTTGGGCCGCGGAGGGCTCGGGCGGCGCACCACCGCCCATCGCCGCTGCCGGTCGCACGGAGGCCGAAAGGCCGCTAGGCGGCCTCCAGCCGCAGCTGGGCAGCGGCTTGGGCGCGGGTAACAAGCCGCAGGAGTCGACGGCCGAGGTGACGCCGCTCTCGACGATCCAGCACAATGTGCTGCGGGCGATCCAGGCGTCGCGCCCGGACGCCTCGAGCACCATCAAGAGCCAGGCGCAGCAGACCGAGATCCGCGAGGCGAGCAACACGTACTGCGACACGACGGGCATCGAGACTGACCTGCGGCTGGCGGGCGAGGTGGCGGGGATGAAGGTATTCCTCAACCCGTCGCTCGATCCGGCCGCGACGCTGCAGACCAACCACGAGGCGCTGGAACGCCTCATCAACCGCGTTTACAAGCCGGTCGGCTCCATCTTTGGGCTGGATCCGCGCTCGCTCAACGTCTTCTGCGACGTCGAGGGCCCCAGCATCGCCTTTAACCGGGGCGGCACCATCTACCTCAACCTGCGCTACTACCTTGCCTGGCACGACGACGACGTGCGTGCGGGGCGCATGTCGAATCCGCTCGTCTCGACCTACTTTTCCGTCGCCCACGAAATCGCCCACAACGTCGTCAGCGCCCACAATGCCGAGCACGAGTGGTACTTTTCCGCCATTGCCGAAAAGTACATCGTCGTCCTGGCCGAGTACATCCGCAGCGTCGAGGGCAAGGTCTGAGCGCGCGGTCCGGGATCGCGGTTGCGCGGCACTGGGTTCGATGGCTCCAGGTCGGTCGGTCGGTCGTAATTTTCGGCCGGCGATGGGCAAAGGTGCATGTCGTGTCACCTCCTCAGCGGGTCAGCATCAGCCGGCGGCCGGGCGTCTCTGTCTGCGCCCCTTTCTTCCTATATGCATCCGTGTCGAAACGATTCCTCTGGCTCGAGATTGGTGCCGGCGTCAGAGGTGTGATCAGACGACTCGAGCATCGAGAGGGGGAAAACCGTCAATTCGCCTCTAACCGGAAATCGAGTGACGAGGGAGCCAGCCAGGCGACAAATGCAGGGGGAACGGGGCCGGGGATTTCAGGCAGAGACGACCTGCTTGACGCCGGGGATGGCCGCCTCGGCGCGCTTCTCCTTGCCACCGAAGTAATGGTAGTTGGCGAACCTGGCGAGCTGGGTTGACTGGGCGAGCATATTCGTCGTGTGGCAAGCGAAGAGGAGGTAGTTTCGCGGCTGCACCCTCCATGCGAACCTCATGAACACGGCGCTGTTCGTTCCGATTTGTCGGGGTGTAGCAAGACGGGCTCCAACAGTTCAGCATGCGGGGCGAGAGGAGGGATGGCAGGTGTGAGGGCCAACGGGGTTGTGTGCTCACGAGTACGAAGCGAGGGCGGTGGTCATGGTGCCGCTGATCATTTCCTCGTTCTTGGACAGGTCGGCCAGCGCTGCCAGCGGCAGACCCCAGTTGGCGACGGGACCCCAGAAGTGTGTGGACTGTGCGCGGAGGAGGTTGTGGCCCGCATCGGAGATGGGATCGTCGTCTCAGTACACAGGGGCAGGCCCGCCTCGTGGTCGACTGCGAGCGGAAGGCTCAGAGAATCGGAGCGGGGAGAACTCACAAAGAAGTAGTCCCGAGCGGCGGGAGACCGGATCCAGGCTGCGAAGGTCGATGCCATCTTGTGTGTGTGTGTGTGTGTGGTGTGAGGGAGCGTGCGAAGTGAAAAGTGAGGGCGGCAGTCGAGGAGTGCTAGTTGCGATGGTGGTGGTGGTGGTGATGGCGGCGTCGGCGGTGATGGTGGTGGTGGTTACGACGAACGTCGACGAGGGGGAAGCAAGCAGCCGGTGCGAAGCCCAAGTCTCTGGCCGCCGGTGGAATTCCGAGAGGCGAGGGAGTGTTCCCCACCCCACCCAACCTTTGCCCCGCGCCCCCCCAACCCAACCGAGATGGCTGGAATCGGGGTTCATCGGCGTCGAGGAACCCGATCCGATGCCCGATTCAGTCCAACACCTGGCTCGCCCGCCTCCGCTCAAAACATCAGGGCGAGGTGGAGTGCAACACGCGCCTCGCGCTTTTGACTGCTCGGGCCTCCCTGTGCTCGGCCCACGGGTCGCTGGCACCCCTGCCTTCGCCCACCATCATCCTAACCCACCGCTAGCCCACAGCGATTCGCCGTCATCCTTATCACACCATCGGCAGCGATGCAGCAGCCTTCGCCTCCCGACGCCTACTTCCTCGCCGCCTCCACCTCGACGCTGGCGGTGGGCAGCATCACCTCGACGACCTCGGACCCCACCGCGCCCGCCTCGCACACGGTCCGCCTGCACGCCGCCTCGCCCGCATCTCAGTCACGCATCGCCGTCGCGTGCTGGCAGTCGTCGAGCGCAAAGATCATCGCCGCCTCGGACGAAGGGCTCACGAGCCTTGACCCGACCCTGCGGCACAAGGCGAGGATGGTCAGGTCTCCAGTCGGCCACGTCGCTGCCAATCGCAGCGGCGACACGGCCTACTGCACGGCGGATGGCAGGACAGTATGGCTCGATGCAGAGGGAAGAGAGATCCGAAGAGTCGGCGTGAGTGTGGTCTACGACCTTCTGCCGAGCGTCCCTCTGAGCCATCACCTTCACCTCGTCTCGCCGCTAACGTCCCCGATGCCTGCGTCCTTGTCCAGCCCTCGAAACCTCCCGCGACGCCGAGCCTCCTCGCCCTCTCGTCAGACTCTCGCAGGCTTGCCCTCTACACACCCTCATCTGATTCCCTTCAGGTCTGTCTTCGCACGGCGACCGCATCGCCGACCACATTGACCCGGCGTCGCCAGACTGCGGCTCCGCCGTCCAAGGTCAGCTCCCTGGCCTTTTCACCCACGCGCGCATCTTTCTTGGCGGCGGGCAGCGATGCCGGCTCCCTGGACCTCTTTGACGCCAGCCTGCCAGGGTCGCCGCTGCAGAGCTGGCCGGATCTCCATGTGGGCAGGATCAACCAGGTGCTGTTTAGCCCCGTCGCTCGGATGCAGCTTCTCGTCACCGCGAGCGAGGACCGCTCGGTCAGCATCATTGATCTCGAAAAGATGGAGTGAGTGGCGCGACTCGCCGCCTGAGCATCTTGACCGGCGAGAGAAGACCAAGTCGGCTGATGTGTTTGCACCCGCCACGTTCCTGCTTGCTCGCCGCCCCCAGAGTCAAGTCGACGCTGGCCTACCCTTATCCGATAACGTCAATCGACTGGAGCCCGAACGGCCTGCTGCTGCTCCTTGGGACATCCTCCGGCGACGTGTTTGTCCAGGACCTGCGCATGGCCGCAAGCCGGACGCCGAGAAGGATTTCGCTCTCGGCGGACAGGACGGGAGCGGTGCACTCGATCCAGTTTGTCCTGCTCGGCGAGCGCGATAAGAAGACCCTTGAGGCAATGGCAACTTCTACTGCTGCACCTGCGTCGGCCACCTCGCCATCGCAGGCATTGAGACCACTCGAAGGCGTCTTGACAGAGTCGAGCAAGGTCAACGCGCCAGCGACGGCGACAATACCTCTGAGCGGGCCAAAGGGCGTCAAGCGCGCTGCGCCCGAGGGCAGCTCGGTTGGTGCTGCTACCGTCGCGCCGGCGTCGAGCAGCACCGCGACGACACCTTTGGCGTCAATGTCGCAGCCCCGAAAGGAGCGGCCGCTCCATCGAAGCAACGTTCCCTCCCCAAGCGACGGCCCAGCGACGACAGCGCCGGCCTTCGCCGCGGCACCCAGCTCGCCGCATCTCTCGGCGGCGGCGGCGGCGGCGGCGGGTGCATGCCCGACGTGCGGCCAGACCCCCGTTCGGCGACGGGCGACGCTACAAGACGGGCGGCGACCATCTGCGACCTGGACGACGCGACTGGGCGGTTGACGAGCAAGATTGAGGCGATTGAGCTGGACCTGGTGCACTCGCAGCAGGCGCACAAGCGGCACATTGAGGCGCTGCTGCGTTCCTACCTCGACCCGACCGAGGGCCAGCTGAGCGAGCTGCAGCGGCTGCGGGCGGAAAACGAGCAGCTCAAGCGGCAGCTGTACAGCAGTCGAGACTATCGCGGGTTCTGAGCGGCGATGGCGGATGTCGCTGTGCGTACATAGAATTGCCTTTGTGTAGGATGGACGGGCACCGGAGTAGTATGGCATGGCATGGCGTCAAGTTGACCCTCGGCGTGATCCGTTCGAGGTGGTCCCCGTCAGCCTTGTAGCGGGGCAGGCGGGCGGGCCAAGCAGGTGCCTGCCACGAGAGCACCGCCTCGGTTGCCGGCCACCCCCAATTTGATATTTTTAGGGGGCTCACCCGCCTGCCCGCCCTCTCACTGGTCCGGCCAGGGCCTGGCCTGGCCTGTCGTCGGTCGGCGGGTGGCACATGCATGCAAGCACGCGCCAGACGGACGCACAACGAGCGCAGACCAGGTCATGCCGAGAGGCAGGCCAGGCCAGGCAGGGCAGGGCAGACGACGGTGCGGGGCGGGCAAAGGCAGGCAGGCAGGCAGGCAGGCAGGCAGGCAGGCAGGCAGGCCCAGCGGGTTGCATAGCCCCCGCTGCCCGCCTTGGACAGCCTAGCCTCTTTTGCCTGCCTGGCTGCCTGCCTGGCTGGCCAGACCGAGACAGGAGGCCGGCCGCCTTGGCAGGCCCTGTCTGGCCTCCACGCCGCGCCACGCCACGCCTGCCTCGAACCCCATCCCATCGGCTGGTTGGTTACATGTCCCATCCTTCTTGCCCCCACCACCACGACCAACCTCACCTCGACCTGCCACCCTCACACTCAAAGTCCCTTCCCCTCCGCTCGGAATCGGATCGCCCCCCTCGGACGCCCTCGTCATCGGCTTCGTCACCGGCGCCATCGCCGCCACAGGTTCAGGCAACCGTTCCGCACTGTCCCCTCACCCGCCCAGTTCGGACCGTGCGCAGGCAATCGAGCTTGTCAAGCCGCTGCGCTTTCGTGAATTTCTGCGCGGCACGCTACAGACGGACCCGACGGCATCGTTTCATTGTGGCCTGTTGCCGGTGGGCGCAGCCGCATCCTCGCACCGTCCTCCACCGCACCGCCTAGACGCCTGCTTCAACACGCAACACCGGAAGAAGCCGTCCGGCGTCTGTCCAACCCACTCTCTGCCGACGCCGCCTACCGCCTACCGCCTCTCCACTATCTTTCGACCTCGATAGACTTGGCTCCCGGACAACCTCAGCTCCCCCTCCATGCGCCACGATCTCGATCGCTTCTAGCACCACCACCTGCGTGCCTTCATCCCCGCGATAGTTCGGGAAGAGAGGGGGCCGGTCCCGCTTTCTCTCCTCGAAACCTAGCCCGCACACCCGCTCTCCTCTTGCCATCCCTTTCACCACCTCATCGGCAGCACCACCATGTCTGCGACACCCACACCCACACCGACCACGGCCATGTCGGTCGCAGCAACGGCGGCGTCGGCCACCGCCACCAGCCTCAACTCGTCGGCCTCGGCATCGAGCGCATCCGCCGCCATGTCCAGCCTCTCGGCGGTCCTCTCGTCTGCCTCTGCCGCGCTCGCCTCCGAGAGCTCCGTTGCCAGCGGTGCCGCCAGCAACCCGCCCGTCTTCAAGTTTGTCGGTCTCGCCCTCGCAGTCTTGAGCGGCATCTTCATCGGCACCTCGTTCGTGTTCAAGAAGAAGGGCCTGCTCAACGCCCAGAAAAAGTACGAGACCCAGGCGGGCGAGGGACACGCCTACCTCAAGTCGCCCATGTGGTGGACCGGCATGATCATCATGGTGCTCGGAGAGGTCTTCAACTTTGTCGCCTACGCCTTCGCCGATGCCGTCCTCGTCACGCCGCTCGGCGCGCTGTCGGTCGTCATCTGCGCCATCCTGTCGTCCATCTTTCTCAAGGAGAAGCTCACCCTCTTTGGCAAGGTCGGCTGCTTCCTCTGCATCGTCGGCAGCGTCATCATCGCCCTCAATGCGCCCTCGCACGCCGTCTCAGGCAACATTGTCGAGTACCAGAAGCTCTTCCTGGCGCCCGGCTTCCTCGTCTGGGCCAGCCTCTGCGCCGCCACCGCCCTCGTCCTCGTCTTTGTCGTCGCGCCGCGGTACGGCAAGAAGAACATGATGGTCTACATCACCGTGTGCAGCCTCATCGGCGGCCTCAGCGTCAGCGTCACGTCCGGCCTCGGCGCCGCCATCCTCCTCTCGATCCGCGGCCAGAACCAGTTCAAGCACTGGTTCATGTACTTCCTGCTCGCCTTTGTCGTCGTCACGCTCCTCGTCGAGATCAACTACCTCAACAAAGCCCTCGAGCTCTTCAACACGGCCACCGTCACGCCCACCTACTACGTCATCTTCACCGCCGCCACGCTCGTCACGTCCATCATCCTCCAGCAGGGGCTCCAGGCGTCGGCGGTCGACATTGTCACGCTCGTCATGGGCTTCCTCGTCATCTGTGCCGGCATCGTGCTGCTGCAGCTGAGCAAGATTGACCCGCAGGAGCTGCAGGACAAGCCCGGCCTCGACCGCGGCACCACGCTGCTGCTCCGCGCCAGCCGCTCGGTCATCTCGCATTCGGACGAAAAGGGCGAGACGACCGCCCTCGAGGATCCGGGCGTCGACACCATCCGCGGCGGTCTGGGCGTCGTCGGCTCCATGATGCGCGCGCGCAGCTCCCGCCGCCTCAGCGGCGCCAGCTCCTTCCGCCACCACAGCGCCGCCGACGAGTACACGCTGCGGTCGCGCAACGGCGTGCCCCTCACCACGCACGGTTCCGCCAACATCGAGCGGTACCAGCTGCACGACAATCCGATGATGTCGCCGGGCGGCCTGTCGCGCGACGAGTCGCTCAGATCGGTGCCGCCGTTCGGCCTGCCCTCGCAGCACCGCGAAACGACAATCTCGTTTGCCTCGGGCAGCGAGGAGCCGCACGGGCATCACGCCGTCGCGGCCGCCTCGTCGTCGCCCCTCGCCACGCCCCGCGCCAAGGACTTTGCGGCGCTCCCAGGCGGTCCGCTGCCATCGAGCTCGTCGCGGCCACAGTCGATGCTGCGGGACAACTCGGTGCAGGGCCTATCGTCGATCCGCGAGGCGTCGGGCGGCAGCGGGCTAGAGGAGTCGACGGCGGCAGCGCCGATGCAGACGACGTACTACATCGATCCGTACGCGCCCGCGCCCGCCCAGGGCCAGGGGCTGCCGCGGTCCACCGAGCGCACCAACATCAAGACGATGTGGGAGCCGTCGAACCTGTCGCACTCGTCGTCGATGTCGTCGCCGTCTGCGTCGCCGCAGAGCGAGGACTACAGCTACGACTTCAAGGAGCGCAATGACGGCGACGACGACGAGACCGACGACGACGAAAAGAGGCGCGTCGGGTCGAGCGCCACGTCGTCGACGGCAGCGACGGCGACGAGGGAGCGGAACCAGCGCAGCTACCCGAAGCGGGGAGGGCGCAAGGGCGACGTCGGCAGCGATACCGGCGAGGAGGAGGAGGAGCTGCTCAGCCCGAGGATCGCGTATCGATGACCGGCCCCGGATCTCCTCACCTCTCCGCTCGCTGGCTGCCCAGAGAGAGAAGGAAAGGGAAGAACGACGGTTTGAACGCCAGAGCAGTTCCCCGCCACGCGTGCCTTGCAAGGGGCCCGAGTGGATCTGGGAGGGACTTTGCTTCTTGGGTTCCGCGTTCTTCCCCTTGCTCGTCGCGGGGCTCCTTGTTCCGAACGCTGGCCTCTTGATGTGCCAATTTCCCCCTTTCGCTGCTCCCTCGCCCTTTCTTTGCCGGGCGTGCTGTACATGGACCCTCCCTTATGCTTATGGACACTTCTCACCTTGTATACCTACCCTCCTTTGCCCCGGCTGTTCCAAGACAAGAAAGCAATGCAGCCGATCGTCCTGCTCGTCGCCTCCTGCCCGCATGAGAAGAGCACGCATCAACGCGTCTGAACCTCCAGGCCGAGGGACGCGACGCCGTGCGGCCCGAGGAAAACGCAACAGGGAGCGACAGATCCGGGATATGGAAAGGGATGAGGGCAAGACGGTGGGCTTTTTTTCTTTCAAACATAGACACCGACGGCGTTGAAGAGTGCGACGACGCCGAAGCCGACTTCGAGACTTGCTAGGAGGGCGACGGTGACCTCTGTCGGTGTCAGGGAGCGTTTTGGTAGTCTATCGAGGCGGGCGCGGGCGCGTGCGCGCACGATGGCGGAGGGGTGAGGGACGAAGCTGTCAGCATGTCTGTGGGGTCACGCGGGGGTAGATCAAAAGAGAGTGGCGGCTGTGGCGAGGTTTTACGTACGTGGTGAAGTAGAAGGCGGATAGGAATGCGGATGCGAGGAGGATAAAGGCGATGTAGGGTAGTGATGTTACCGGGATCGAGGGGACGAATGAGGGCGCGGCGGCGTGCAGAGCCTGGTCATTCGAGCGATTGGGGGACGCCATCGTCAGCCTTTCCCCGTAAATGAGGCGGGGGCACGAGAGAGGAGTGGGACGACTCACTGCTAGCTCCTGGTGGGATCTCATCTGAACCATGGCTGGCGGTATGAGCGGAGCGATCCGGATCGACGCAGGTGAAGCTGTGCGTTGATGGGCTATAGCGGAGATGTCGAGGTCGCAAACGTTTTGGCAAGTGCTTGCAAGAGTGGCGGAACACCGAGTGAAGCGCGAGGAGGAGCAGAGGTAGATGGTGTCGAGAAGATGTCAAATGGCGGCGGAGGGTGGTGGTGGTGGGCCCGCCTGCGAACTTGCCAGCGCGCCCCTTCTTCCCCAGCGGCTTGGTCCGAGCGCTTCTGTGAATCGGGAAAAATGTCCCGATGAAATGGATCACCGATGTCGTCAAAGTACCCTTCCCCGCATCAGCTCTCCTTGACCGACCGATGGGTGCCGCGACCAGTATCACGCTCAACTCCTTCCAGCCTGGCAGGCCGGTCGACCCGACTTTGTCCCTCCTCCTTGACGAGATCCGTCGATGGATCGTCGGCGGTGGTCGTCGCCTGTCGTTCTCGTTGTCGTCATCCTTGCGCCCTCGCTTCCTGGTGCAGATGCGTGTCATGCCGAGCAGACTCCTCTTCGGAGACTCGTTGGCGCCTCCCCGTTCCGACTCTGTTTGGCTAGAACGCGATACGATGTCGATCCAGCAGCGTTCGACTGGTCCTCGACGTGGCGCGGTCGCAGGCAAGCACAGATGTGACTGCTAGGAGATAGACGTTCGATGGCGCAACGGGTCTGCATCCGGTGGCAGCCACTGACCGAAACCACGGGCGGAGCCCCTCCGTCGAACACATGAAACCGATGGATCGCCGTGTGTTTCGGGATAGCAAGCGTCGTCGGCACAGACCGGCGAGAAGATACGGTAGCCAGCTACCCGCAGCCAGCTCCCTTGTCGTCGTTGCCGTTGCGCCCGGGCCTCGATGGTTGAAAGAGGGCCCGGACCCCTGGATAATCGTTCACCGCACCCCGACAAGGCCGCCGCTCCGTGCCCAGTGCCCCGTGCCCACCCACATATATCACAATTCGTGATGATGGCGACGAGGAGGCTAACCGCCGTTGAAACAGCTACGTGCGCCCTCGACTCGGGCTGAGCCAACGTCGAGAAGAGGCGTCGCGGCGCAAGGCCAAGGTGCTCCCCGTGCTTGACCATGAATACGCCTCCCAGGGGGTGACGGTGCTCCGAAGGCCTGGCTACTCGCTTTGAAATCGGCGGTTCCGCAGTTTCTAAGGGGCCCCGACGCCCAGGGCCTGAGGCCAGGCGGGCCCGGGATCGACGACGGGTGTTTCCGGCGTGCCCGCTTTATTCCGAGATGCGGGGGCGAAAGGGCACCGGCCGGTGGATGGCCATCGACCAGCAGCGCGCAGCAACCCTCCCCCGTCGATCCCGAAGGCGGTCAGAGAGCCGTCACCCCTGCAGGCAGGTCCAGTCTTCGCCGGCCTTTGTATTATTATTGTAGGCCTGGCCCTCCTGCCCGCCAAAGTGTGCGGACCACATGCAGGCGTGGTTTGCTGCTCGCGATCGAGTCCGTCATCGTCATCGGGACCGCCGAGAGCGCCGAAGGTGGTGCCCCTCGGCCCTGCCTGCACCCTGCCAGGACGGCATGCAGGACCATCCCGGTCCACTCGAAGGGGCGCTCCGAGATGCTCCGTCGCCCTCGCGCGCCTCGCCGACGACCCACGCCTGCAGGTGTCGTATCGCTGTCGGGCCCATGGTATATAGGGGACCACAGGGCGGGTTCTGCTATCGTCGTGCCCTGCTTCTTCTTCTTACCTTTCCCATCTGCCATCTACCGCACCTGCCTTCTTCCTTTGGACGTCGTCTCCTTGACCGAGAACTCCAAACCAACCCACCACCACTCTTCGTCACCGTTCCGCGCGCCTCGGCTCCATAGAATCTCGATCTAACGATCTCAAGTGTGAGTACCCGCTGCGATACAGTCAGCGAGCGGGCGTGCTCGTGTACAAGGGACGGTCATCGCTGGCTTGGCGATCGACTTGGCTGGTTGGGCCGACCCAGTGGATCGTCTAGCCACTGGCACCGGTAGCCCGATTGCGGGGTTGGAGCGGCCAAGGCGGGGAAAGGCGAGGCGAGGATGTCTAGGGAAAGAGGCCAGACACGACGGGGTGCATCCCCAGGCGGCGGCGGCCTTGGACCGCTCCGAGCGGGCCAGGGAAAGACGGCACGGCAAGCGGGCTCGGATGAACCGGCCTGCTTGCCGGCACCGTCCTCTAGAGGCAGCCAGCAGCTTGGCGGGCTTGCTCCGTCCTGGCCCGTGAAATGCTCGTCGAGCCCCGCCCGCACACGCCCTCCGCCTCGCCGTCATCGTCGTCCGTGGTCGCCGCCCCTGGTCGACCGTGTCGTCGTCACCAGCAGCGACATCAGTCTAGGCTATGCTGGCAACGATCTCGACGTCTCGTCGACATGTGCAACGTCTCGCTCTGCGCCAGCGCTCGCCATCGGCGGGGACCGGGTCGGGCGGGGCGATGCCGCGACTTGGCCGGCGAAGGTTTTTCATCCATCGGGCGTGCCAGGCCAACCAGACACTGACGCAAAGATCACCCCTCCGCCCTCGCCCCTCCTCCACAACCTGCTCTGCCTGCCCTGCCTGCCCCCTGCCTCTGCGCCGTCGCCCATCCGCCCTTTCACGGCCACGGGACCCTGCGCAACCTCGACTGCTCCTTCGCCCCGCCCGCCCGCTCGCTCGATCCCCTCGTCCGCCCGTTCGCCCGTCCTCTCTCACCTTGCCCGTCCCTTCCGCCCCACCTCTTGCACCACCACCACCTCTCACCCCCGCACCGCATACAGGCATCCGTCACGCTCCCACTGTATCACCAGCACCGAATCACCGACAACACCACCGCCAGCCACTCGCCCAAGATGACCTCGCCCGGCAACCACCACGATGACCTGCCCACCCACAACCCCCACTACTCGCTGCTCGGCGAGAACCTCAAGCTCTTCTCTGATGCCGGCTTCGACATGGACAAGATCCACCTCAAGCGCAACGCCTCGGTCGCCCAGCTGTACGAGGATGCTATCCAGAAGGAGGGCGCCGTCATCTCGTCGACGGGTGCGCTGATCAACTTTTCCGGCAAGAAGACGGGCCGATCGCCCAAGGACAAGCGCATCGTCTTCGAGGAGACGTCCAAGGACCAGGTCTGGTGGGGCCCCGTCAACATCAAGATGGACGAGCACACGTTCGAGATCAATCGCGAGCGCGCCATCGACTACCTCAACACCCGCGAGGACATCTACGTCTTTGACGGCTTCGCCTGCTGGGACCCCAAGTACCGCATCAAGGTCCGCGTCATCTGCGCCCGTGCCTACCACGCCCTCTTCATGCACAACATGCTCATCCGGCCCACGCCCGAGGAGCTCGAGAACTTTGGCGAGCCCGACTTTATCATCTACAACGCCGGCCAGTTCCCCGCCAACCGCTTCACCGCCGGCATGACGTCGACGACGTCGGTCGAGATCAACTTTAAGCGCCGAGAGATGGTCATCCTCGGCACCGAATACGCCGGCGAGATGAAGAAGGGCGTCTTCTCGGTCATGCACTACCTCCAGCCCGTCAAGTTCAAGCAGCTCTCGCTCCACTCGTCGGCCAACGTCGGCGCCGACGGCGACGTCACCCTCTTCTTTGGCCTCTCGGGCACCGGCAAGACGACGCTCTCGGCCGACCCCAACCGCGCCCTGATTGGCGACGACGAGCACGTCTGGACCGACACCGGCGTCGCCAACATCGAGGGCGGCTGCTACGCCAAGACCATCGGCCTCTCTGCCGAAAAGGAGCCCGAAATCTACCACGCCATCCGCTACGGCTCCATCCTCGAGAACGTCGTCTACGACAAGCACACCCGCGTCGCCGACTACGAGGACGCCTCGATCACCGAGAACACGCGCTGCGCCTACCCCATCGAGTACATCCCCAACGCCAAGATCCCGTGCATGGCCAACTCGCCGCCCAAGAACATCATCATGCTCACCTGCGACGCCTACGGCGTGCTGCCGCCCGTCTCGAAGCTGTCGTCGGACCAGGCCCAGTACCACTTCATCGCCGGCTACACGTCCAAGACGCCCGGCACCGAGGACGAGATCTCGTCGCCCGTCCCCACCTTCAGCGCGTGCTACGGCCAGCCCTTCCTGGTGCTCCACCCGCGCGTCTACGCCGCCATGCTCGCCGAGCGCATGCAGCGCCACAAGGCCGACGTCTACCTCATCAACACGGGCTGGGTCGGCGGCAAGTTTGGCGTCGGCAAGCGCTGCCCGCTCAAGTACACGCGCAAGATCATCGACGCCGTCCACAACGGCTCGCTCGCCAAGGCCGAGTACGAGGACTTTAACACGTTCAACCTCAAGGTGCCCAAGGCCGTCGAGGGCGTCCCCAGCGAGCTCCTCAACCCGGCCTCGGCCTGGAGCGACAAGAACGCCTTTGCCGCCGAGGTCAAGAACCTCGCCGGCCTGTTCAAGGACAACTTTGAGAAGTATGCCGCCGACGTCGCACCCGAGGTCGCCGCCGCCGGCCCGTCGGCCTGAGCGTCGCGCGCATAGCCGCCGGACGGACGCCGGGCGGACGATGGCAGGGCGGCCGTGTCGCGGAGGAGGGGGGTGTTGGAGTCGTTGACAGGTCCACGTTCATGTAAAAACACACAAAGATGGCATTCCCCCTGATGACAATTTCTACGTCGTTTACGTTGATCTCTCGGCGTTGCGGAGAGGAGTATACGGTAGAAGCGATGGCTCGCCGGTCGTGGATCGAGATGGCATGGGCTGGCGACGGGCCTCGACGGCGATGGCAGGCACGGACGGACGGACGGACGGACGGGAGGGAGGTGCCGGGGGCCGGTCAGCGGGCACCTCGCGCGAGATGTGCAGTCGCACGGCAAAGCGGTGTGGAGCGAGCGACGTCCGCGATAGCCTGTTCCGCCGCTGCGGGATTCGGCAGCTCGGCTCTCGCCGCTACCCGGTAGCCGATGCACGATGTTCGGATCGAGGTGCGGTGCGGTGTCGATCGCGAGGTTGTCGACGAGCCTGCCCTACCCGATGGGCTCGCCTGCGTCAGAGCACCCGATACCGAGCGCGACCATTGCAGCCTCCACTAACGTAGCCTCCATGGCCAGGCCAGGCGATTCTTCGCAAAGTGGACCGTGCATCGCGCTTCGGGGATAGCGCGGCGACTGAAACCGCCTCGACGCCCCCCCCNCCCCNCCGAGACTCGCGACGACACACGAGGAGAG